TTTGTTTTGTCTATGTTTTATGTTGCATACACACACACACACACACACACAAACTCCACAGATGCCAACAAGTGGCATGTTTATGGCATCTGTCCATAAATTATGGTATGGTACGGTATCCAATTTGGTATAGTGGGTAAGGTATAAGCAAGAAACTAGGAGGGTATGGGTTCTAGTCCTGCTTTAGGTACAAATAGCAATAGCAATATCACTTAAGAGTTATATACAGCTTCATAATGCTTTACAGCACTCTCAGAGCGATTTAAATAGTCACCATGTTGCCCCAACAATCTGGGTCCTCATTTTACCAATCTTGGAAAGATGGAAGGTTGAGTCAACCTTGAACCTGTCAGTGAACAGAGTCAGCCTTCAGTACTGCATTCTAACCACTGCACCACCACGCCTCGCAAAGCCAGCTTCTGAAATCTTGTCAAGAAAATTGCAAAGACCAGCCCAGGCAATTGCCAGGAGTCAAACGCTAATTCAAAGGCTTATGACATATAGTATCATATAGGGTATGGTATGTTAATGGTATGGTATTATATAATAATAATAAAGCACTGTAGGACTGTAGATAGCCATCTTCTCAATAGGATAACAATGGCTATGGAACCCAAGTATAAGTCTTCTTCTAAATAAGGACAATGTTAGATACTGGTATTTCTGGTTAGATAGTGGTATTTCTCACTTCCTGTACTGTCAGTGCAAGGCATTCAAAGATGTGCCAGTTGGAGAGGATTATAACGTTCAAATCTCTTCTTGCTGGCAGAAATCCCCTTCCCAACTTGATGAAGGAAAAAGCAGAAACTAAAGAAAATGTTAAAATAAATAACTAGCAATGTTACTTAAATCTTATCAATTACCCATTTCAAGTTCTCCTAGGATGAACTGTGCAACAGCCCACTGTGTGCATTGAAAATTTCTAAGAAATAACCTACATATATAAATCAATACACAATTGTGGCATTTTCTATTCCATTTATATCATCTGTTTTTGAAAATGCAAACAGCAGATGTATGCCCAAAAAACTTTCCAGTCACAATCATTTTCTAAATATATCCAGTATGATTTACACTGAAAATATTGTACCTATCTGGAGTCTATTCTTATTGTTTGTTTTTATAAATCCAAAGTAATTTTAGTTAAAAAGTATTAGCATACAAAAATATTTCCATATACTATATGAACAATTCGATTATCATTTTTGTAGAGCAAAAATGGCTATTAACTTTGTACAATACTCGTATTTTAAGGCAGGACAATAATTTAAAACAAAACAGCAAAACAAACAATATGACATATTACTACACGATTAGCTGGTATCTGAACTGTATTGCTTCATCAAAGAAAGTAGATTTGTGAATTAAATCAGAATAGTTCATTCATTTGAAGTAGTAAAATATACTTGTTAGCTGGCATATTACATGCTAAACCATAATTTACTGTCCACAGTGGCTAGAATTACACTGTGTAAATAAAAAAATATACATAATGGTATAGTACATTATAGGAATCCTACACTACAGAACAAGTAGGATTGTATGTTGGGTTCACACATGCTAAGACATAATGTTGTTTGCTTGTTTTTGACTCAGCACAATGTATGAACTAAGGTGTAGTGGTTGGTAAAGCTCAATTAATAGCTTAGCATAATGAAAGAACCAGACAATACAGCCTGGTGAACTGTGCTAACAACAAACCAGGGCATAATGCAATGTGTCAATCCAGATATTAAATTGGAAGATAGGAGGGCCCCTGGTTTATCTCCTTTTTAGTATATCCAGTTTTTCAGACAGCTTGCTAATGTCCCGCTTTTCCTGCTTGTTTCCAGATATGAAGGCAGCCATAGGGCATTTAAGCATGAAGTGCATTACTTTCACCCCCTTAATAGCAGGTCTGCTCCCAGTCACATGACTACGAAGAGAGCAGAATTGAACAGAGGAATTAGCAACATTTGGAGCCATGTTTAATTACCTCTCCCACAGGACTACAACAGGGAACTTGTTTTCATTGTATTTACTGGAATTCTTGTCACTCTTAACTTTTAGGAATTTGGGATTGTTTCCACTCTTGTTGGTTGTTAGAGAGGTCTAATCAACAAAGTCCTAAATCAATTTATATAATTTATTTTCAAAAGTATGTTGGCTGGAAAAAATAGTACAGTACATGACACAAAATATGTACTCTTGTAGTAGAGTATCAGCTGTTTTCAATGCATCAGAAGCTATTGAGTCTTTCCTGTAAAAAGAAAGGTTTTTTTGAGTATTTCTAGTATTCTTAATTCATATCTTCCATTGACCTCTAGGTGTTGAGGCATAAAGGAAGAGAGTATTTATAGGATCATATTGTTCATTTAGCATAATTCCTCAATTACTCATTTTGTTGTCTAGCCTTTAAGCCTGTTAAATGCTTGCAGAGAAGTCACTTAACGTGGATGGCATAAAAAAGTACTGTAAGAAGTGTATCAAGATAGTATGTGCATCTGTGTGTATATTCATGTGTATATGTATACAGGCATGTACAAACACATATATGTAACGTAACCATTGTGTTTCTGCTTAAATGCAAGCTGCTTTTTCCACAGGACAGACAGCAGAAAAAAGAAATTTGGTAGTCCTAAAGAACAGGGAATTGAAGCGTCTATTTAAAGCACCATTAACTAATCTGGTTATCAATCATCATCGATTTAGGATGGAGAATATTTAGCTCCTTTGTAAGTCATAAGCCAAAATAGAACCAGAATTGCATATAACATATTTCCCTCCAGAAGCCTAGAAATATAGCCTCTGTTATTTTTCACTCAGCCTGCCTAGTAGCTGAATCTGCTGAGAACACGAGTTTTACAACTGGAAGGCACCAAGTTAAAAAAAAAAAAAAAAGCTAGAGGTTTCTCCTTACCCGTAGTTAATCCCAAAAAATGGCTTTCTAGTTACTTAAGATCTAATTGTATTTTAATACATTAGGCCTTTGAAACTTATAAAAGCAATATTTGAGGACAACATGGTTATCCTATTGAACTGATTCCAGTATAGTTACTAACTGAAATTGGGAGACTGAGGAACTTGTTCCACAATTTGTGAATCTCAGCATTTCTATCAGGATATGTCATAATTATTCTAAGACCTAAATTCACTCATAATTAGGGCCTTATTTCTGCTTTCTGCAGTTTAACCAAAGTTCTCAAAAGATAAGTATATATAAATGCATTCCCAGCAATTACAGAGTACTTGTTACAAGCTATCAGTCAGAGACCTTCACGTTGTCACCCAGAGAGGAGTACACATAATTGTTTCTTACATGCATTTAAAATGAAAACAGAAACAGTAACATAACTCCACTGCTCTTTCTTCGCAGATTTCCACATGCTTTTCACTTCAAAACATATTTTGTAATGAGACACTAAAGCCAACCCCAGGAAGCATATGCCAGGGGCATTAGACTGTTTGTCTCCATGTACTGGCACTATATAGAAATGTTAGATGAAATGAGGAATTACACTGGAAATGCATCAATCATGCTAATCCACTTTCTGTTCCACTTGAAGGATTTCTTGGTGGTGGAAGAATAAAGCTACGCAATGAAGGCCTAGGCTTGAAAGATTTCTGAAGGCAGATTTCCAAAGTGAGAAATCAAGAACATATACTGAAATGCCATCACGTGCAACAAGTATTTGAGGACACACCTTCTAAAGTTCAACTCTTATAAAATATCTCATCATTCTAGAGGACTGATAGGCTGATCCTCAAAACATAACACCAGGGCACAATGTATGGAAATGGACAAGGGTTCTTCCAGCAGATGCTTTTTTAAAAAGGACTACATGGGAGAAAAGTGCTTTTTCTCCTTTGATTCTTCCCCAAGATGCACAGGATAGGTCCTACAATGAAGCAGATCCAGATCTTGGTGGCAGATCCAGCATGAGTGGTGGTGAATTGAAGCTAAGCGCCCTCTCAAGCATTGGGCTATATGCATGACATCTGAGCATGGTCTGCCTTCTCAGATGGCTACTCTGCAAGAATAGCTCTGAAGAAGTCCTTAGAGAGATGTTTTGTACCATAGATGTGGTAGTATTCATGCCAAAAAATAAGTACAGAGAAGGTGTGCCTGGAGGAAATAAAAAGAAAGGATCTATACAGTGAGCATGATGAAAGTCCTGGGTATTGTGCTGGCTACATCCTGCTGATGCACATGAAAAGCCTGCTTACAATAATGTAAGCACAATCTCCCAGTCAATGAATTGCAATGGTATTTCCAAGTGTACATCCAAAGCAGTCCCACTATTTTCATGTTTCCATATTTATCACTTCTCTCCCTGATCACATGTGGTGCAGGTCAATCTGTAGTAGGTGGAGTCGTCGTCATCATCATCATCATCAAAGTTGGAAGGGACCTTGGAGGTCATCTAGTTCAACCCGCTGCTCAGGCAGGAAACCCTATACCATTTCAGACAAATGGCTGTCCAGTCTTATTTCCTTCATGGTTGACCTCTTGTTAAATAAGTGCCGGAGACACACAATTGATACACCATTCCTAAGAGACAGTCCAATTGTTAAGGAGGTAGAAAAGCAGGGATCTTTAGCAAGTTCACTAGGGGGAGAATGGGACTTCTCCAATTTTAAGCAAATCTGTTTAGGATTACTATATTGGCTTTTCTCTGCCATTAGCCAGAAAGTAAAAGTAATATGAAGCAGAATAGTCAAGTTGAAGGGGAAAACAACAAGGCTTTTCCCAAAGCTCCTCTTCATAGCTTTGGAGAAGTTGCACCCCTCAGAAGTCTGGAAGGCAGGGGATGCACTGAGTGTGTGGATGTACACAAAGTATTGATTTAGTGCAGACAGGGCTCTTTTGAATGTAAAAAGCTACCCATTCTCAAAGTATGGGATTTAATAGCCATGATGCTGAGAGAGAGGTAACACACGTCCAGAGTCAGCATAAGGTAAGCATAGGTTTGTTCAGCCCAGATTTGAGCCAAAACAGTAATTTGAATCAAACCAGAAAATATATAAAAGGTTTTATAACCGCACTTTGCACTTTGAGGAAAGGGTTAGTACAGTAATGTAAGTCAACATTTTGAGCTCACTGTACAATTATTCATGACTTTTAAGAGTTAAAATGGGATATTTTAAACTGTTGTGCAAAATAGATATATTTCATATTAATTCTAGACCTTCCATTCCAAGTCCAAAGAAAGTAAACAAAAAATTATTTCTCTTTGTGCCAAGACAAATAAGAAAGACTTCCTTTCAGTCCAGATACTGTAGACAGTAAGGGATATCACAAAAGATATAGTTTAATATTAACAGTATTTCATGATTTAACATGCACTGCATTTTAACAGTAAAAGAATTCAAAACACTTTTCTTAGTAGAAATATATAGTTTTCTAGGTCAATAAAATCCCTGTTTATTTGCCAAATAAGGCAATTTTTTTCCACATAGAAAAAAGAAATTTTAATTTATAAAAAGAACTTAATAATTCCCAAATAATTTCCATTTCTACTTGAAGTTGAGCATAAATTCACTCAGTTCCTTTCAATTGCTTTGGTGCTTCATGTTCCAAGATACAGCCTCCATTTTTTAAAAGTTTGCTTGTTGGTTTTTTAAAAGGCTGTTTTCTCTGGAACAAGCTAAGATTGAAAGATGGCAGTCTACAGATCTACTGCTGTATAACTTCTATAATACTGCAGGATACAATTTTTATAATACTGTTCAAGGTAACTTTTTGGTACTCCTGCACCTCTTGCAAAGAAAGAATTCTGACTTAAGATCGATTTTCAAATTAAAAATTGTGCCATCAGATTTGCCATTCCTAGAAGAATTATCAAAAAATGGCTGAGTAGTGCAAACCATGTCAATTGATTCTCCCGATGCAAGGAGATAATATAGATGATGGATGGATATACAAATACAAAGGCGAGGCCACAGGTTGCTCCAGAATATCTGGAAGAAAACAACAAATGGTTATATATTTATTTTTTCGAACTATAATTTCTACATGTCTATTCAGTGACAGGTCCCATGTATAACAAACAATCTAGCCAACAACATTTTAGTCAGAAACTGCAGTCCCAGTAGTGTGATTTAGTATGCTGAGCAAGCCCAGAAAATTGGATTAACTCAATGTCCATAGTTAAACTAACTATGAATAAGCCTTGAAGACAGCCATAATGAGGTTGGTTGGTTGGATTGTTAACTGATTTATATTTACTATTTTAAAAAATTACACACAAGCCATTGAGACAAATCTTTCCCAGTGTTAAGCAAACTAAGCCTTAGTACATGGCCAGACCAGAGCAATTATTTCAATGTGCTTTATTATCTTAAAAATTTTTACTGCATGATGGAAACCACAATCACCCCACAAGAAAAGACTACAAATGATATTACTATAACACTTTATATTTACTTCTGTTCCTTTTGGCCAGATTCCTTTTCCCATCCCTCACATTCCTACATTTGATTATTTAATAAAAGTTATTAAACATAAATTGATAATAGAGCTATACAAATTTTGCTTGAGTCAGTAGAGTTTCTACATGCACTAGTAAAAATTATATTCAGGGTCACAAAAATTGTGCTACTATAAGACAAAATGGGAGCATTGTTCCTGTGTTTTACAAAAAGCTGTTATGACATGGCCAAGGGAAGGGAACAAATTCTACAAGGCTGCTGGATATATGGAAGTTTTAGGCACACAGAGGACATCTGATGTAACAATTATCATATTTAATTGGAGAAAATGATCCTTTTACCCTTTAATTCAATAACAAGTAAATGCTGCTCACTAGGACTCCCACTGCAGTAGTTTTCTTCAACATCATGGTGGTGTTACATTAATCAACAGCATTTATGTAGTGTTCAAACAACTTCACAATCATTCTTTTACGGTAATACTTCTTGAGTGGGTAAGGGGAGCAATCACAAAAGATATCAGAGGCTGTGAGGCTGCAGCTTGCATCTGACATGAAGTGCTAAAGAAAATCTCTTCCTATTTTTTTTTAAAATGGTCCTTCATATTTTTATAAAGAACACCAGATGGGTTCATGGCAGAGTACTCCTTTTGAAGAGAGAAAAGGAACCAATCACAAACATTCCTTTGTGCATTCGGATGACTGCACAAAATTGCTTAGCCAAGGCTTGCTTATTTAAATTCATTTGTTCTTTGTTTCTGTTGCTCACAATAGAACAAATGGGTGGGAGTATGTGGTTGGATGTATAAAAGATATTTAAAAAGAAACAGGATCCAAGATTTTTCATGTGGAGAAAGTTCAAGTGAAATTGAAATTGGGAGAAAAATATGATGAGGAAGGAGTATTGGTTACGTTTGCCATTTTAAGTCATTTATAACAACAATGAAGGTGGGATAAAAACAAATAAATAAAATTGAAAGGGAAAAGAATGAGGAACTTAGAGAACAAAAGGGAATGAGGAAGGTATTTATGATAAAGGTTTCTAAGCTCTGTTTTTAAAAAATCAATTAATAAGAACTTTGTTAGGACAAAAATGTTAAACATTCACATGTGCACAGATCTAAAAGGCAGTTTTAAAATGTGGAATTTTAGTAATAGTATTTGTTATTATTACAAGGGAAAAGAAAATCATGGCAAAAAAAAGCTGATTTGAAGGAAGGATCATACAGTCATTTTTAATATTCATAGCTACTTCACTGGGAGCTGGGGCTTCATTTATTTTATTTGCAGGTTTGGGGATTTTTTGCTTCCAGAAAAAAAGTAGGAATAATACAAAACTTTATCTTTATTACTAAATACTAAATATTTTACTAAATATAAATATTTTGTGAGTGACAAGAAGTAAATGAGGTCAGATAGGGACAGGAAAGCTGTGGCACTCCAGATCTTGCTGAATTACAATTTTCAGCTTCCCTAGAAACATGGCTACTGATACAGCTTCTAATTTAGGATTCTGGAGTGCTAGAAGTATTCCAGCTAGGATACAGCTGCTAATTTAGGATTCCTGTCTTGGAATAGTGGAAACTCTTTCAGAGAGGTTTGAAATACAATTGCCTGCTCACTCTTGAGATACCTTATAGAACAGAATTGGGCAACATTGGATTTTTTTTTTAAAGCACTCGCAAGTCTGTCATAACTGTCAATGAGTCAGAGGTATGTGACGTTTATAGGTGTCACCAGGATTTTCTTTCTTTCCCCTTTGTTTTTAGTGAAGTTTATTTTTCCCTTTTGCTTGTTTGATTATGGGAGTCACTAGCTATGACTTCTGATTCTCCGCCCATAGCCTGGAGCTATCCAGATGTCTAGCCTGATCTATATCAGTATTAAATAAGAATTATAAAATGTTGTTTGGAGAGGATAGATCAACTGTCTCATCTGTGGATTCATTTGGGTAACTCAGATTTTTCAAAGAAAATCCTGGTGAAAGTTGAATGTGAAATAAATTGAATCTGGATATTTTTTGTTGCAAAAAAACAAATACTAGTGACTACGAGAAGGCCAGAATGTACATTCTACTGAATTGTTCCGTGTAGGAAAAATGTGTAAAAAAGTGAAATTCTGAGGCTTATTTTATAATTTTACCACTTTAGTTTATTATATGCATATACCAGATATGAGAATCACCCACTATTTTGTTTAAATTTTATATGATGGTTAGCATAGTCCTGCATCAATTTCAGCATAACAATCAATTCATATTTCAAGAGTACCTTATGATTCCCCCTATATTTGGATAGAATCTGGCCACCGCAACTCCAGTTCCTACAATGATAATGTTCGAAACCAGCACATGGAAAAAACTGTAAGAAAAGAGAAAAACCAAGCTATGTAACTCTATGTAAGAGGAACTCCCTTTATTAGTTTCAATAAGCTAATGAAAATCTTTCCATTTCTGTGACTCATCCAGTAAAGCCAATTACTTTTAGATGAAATGAGCTTGACATATAGTGATTCTTCCAACAGCCAAATCCTAAAGTGATATTTTGAATAGAATATAGCTATTTGAAATTCAGTTTTAGAATAGAGCTAGAAGGGACCTTTCTTTTCTATTGGTCATGCCACAGTTCATAAAAATGTAATCTCTCTCTCTCACACACTCTTTTTCACACACATGCTCATGAATAGTCTAAAATACAATCCATATACTCTATTAAGTATAATAAAATACTCTAAAAGACACTCCCCACATGAAAAACAATATTTTGGATCTAGGAATGATCTGAGCTGCTCAACCAAACTAATGAATATAAGAAGAAGAATCTTTAGAGGAGTAGAAATCATGACATTATAAATGTACGCACAGGCACATTTTAAAGCATTTTGATAGAGTAAATAAATATTTAGGTTTGCAGGACTCATACCTAGGAACAATTTTCATCAAATTTTCATCATAATTCTTTAGAGATAGTGTAAACAGAAAGGGTTTTGTATCCTACTCCACCTTCTTAAATTTTCTAAATAGGAAATTAAACTTGTAGGATTTTTCACATTCTGAACAAGGCCTGTCTGTTAATACAAATATAGCAGCCTATTTAAATTCTGATTCAGAAACTTCTTACACTTAGAAATGGGATGTCTTGCTATTTTAAACAAAGAAAGAAACCAGATAAAAAAACAACTTGGACATTATGACTTATTATTTTAAAATATATTTATCCATGTTACTATAATACAAAAATAATAAAGAAAAAGAAAAACTAAACATAGAAAACAACCTATATTAAAAATTAAAATGAAAAAGGCACCATCACCACTCACCCGTTAAAAGTAGCGCGCGCGCGCGCACACACACACACACACACACACACAAACCCCACATAAATATTACAATAAAATATATAAGGGTACTTGGCCTTTAAACAAATTAAGCTTGACCATATGGAATGATAACAGTGATTCCATCCATTACATCAATACATTCAATTTAAAACCTCACAGTCACCTTATTTCTTCAATTCAGGATTTTTTTAAACCTGGGGTGGTGATTTCTTTGCAACAGTGCAAAATTATCTTATCAGTTTGGTAAGTCCAGAGTTCATCATAAAACAGAATATTCCAGGTTTTTTAACATCCCATTAATCACTGCATTTTTGTTAATAGTAATATGAATATGGAACCAAAATAGGACATGCACAGAGCAAGCCCATATAAAAGAGTTGGTCAAATATATTACATGACCAGTATAAAAACATCCACTAAGATGTCCAATAAATATGAAAAATGATATTTTGCTATATTAGTCAATTCTTGATATTACAAGAAATATACTGTAGCATAAATGTGGTTTGGCTTTTGCTTAACAATTTGTACAAACATAAATGTGTTTATTCGCTGTAATGTAATTATTAAATATGGTTTAGTATGATGTATGAATCATTCTATAAAAATAAAACACCTGAACAGTCTTTCCTTCCATGATGTTCTCTCTACTCTTTTTTTAAGAATTTAATAATTTATTAAACAGTTATAATCTATAAGAAACTGAATTCCCCAACCCTGCTCTGTTCTCCATTAATGGTTTATTTAAACATGATGGAATCAAGCTACATTTTCTTGATTCAAGTCTAACTCTCAATCTACACCAGAGGTCCCTTTTGGGCACCAGGGACCGGTTCCATGGAGAGAAGATTTTCCGCGGCCCAAAGAATGCATGGTTTTGTGTGCTGCCTGCATCCCGTGGATGGGGCTCTGCTTGTTTGTGCGGACCAATTGCTGCATGCCGTGGCCCGGTACTGGTCCATGGACCGGGAGTTGGGGACCCCTGGTGTAGACTAGACTAGACTACGGAGAAGTACATGGGTTCTCCTTGGATACAAATAAAAATCTCCTATGCTAATCTGACTCTAAGCCCAATGCATACAGATCGTCCTTAATTAATGATGGCAACTGGAATCAGAAGTATCATTAAGTAATGTGGTCATAAAGCATGACATCACACACATTGCTTAGTCACAGCAATTTCTGCAGTCCCCATTGTCATTGTTAAGCGAGGCTACCTGATGGCTTCCAACAACCAGTTAGAGGGGATTCCAGCAGGAAATTACAAGACAAAGGTGTCTTGCAAGCAGGTTGTTAGGCAGGTAAGTGGTTGCTATGGGGCAGGTGAGGTTGCTCAAAGATACATTGCAGCACAGCACAAGGATAATGAGGCTTGGGATGGCTGTGCCCAGGGGTGAAAACTTACCCAAGTAATTTACCATCTCCTCTGTTGGCTTCCCAATTGATTTTGCTTGTCAATGTTGCAAGGGAAGATTGATAATGGCAATCACATGACTACAGGGCACTGCAACCATGGAAGTAGAAGCCAGTTGCCAAGTGCAATCAGGATGCTGGGATGGCAAGAACTTTGAGGACTGGTTGTAAGTGCCACTTGTTCATCACTGTCATAACTTTGACTGGTTGCTGAATGAGTGATTGTTAACCAACGACTATATTCTATGGCTTCTAAATAATATTTAGCAGTCCCAATGGTGATTTGCTCAAGCAATTCACTGCCTCCCTCCAAATTAATACATTAAAAAGAAACGATGCTAATATTTAATAGGAGAGGTCAGTACCCTTGTTCTTTAGAGTAGCACAGAGACTTCCTCTGAAATTATGTTCACTATTGCACAAAAGATATTTTAAACAAGTTTTTTTAAAAATAATAATAATCTGCATATTGTTTTTTAGTATATTTTAAAATGGATCCTGAAAATCAAGGCAAAAAATAGACTTTCTGTTCTAGAGAAATCACTATCAACTTTTACAATTATTTTAAAAAGCCTTTCCCACCCTGATATATTAGATTTCAATCACCACTTGTGGTCCACAGAGTGGGGCATGTTGTTTGAAAAAGTGCTGATCACCAAGCAGTGTTGCTGCATGTCTGATTCCATAATAGGCTATGAGAATAACTTTGGGAGAAAGAAGAAAAAGCTGCAGTCTGATAAAAGATACTCGATGAGGGTGGAGAAAGCATCTCAGGTGGGACCGTCCCTAATTCTCTGGAAATTAAAGGCAAGAGAGGAGGAACGTGTTTTCAGACTTGCAAGATTATACTATTTTATTCCTGACATCTTTAATTCAAAATGGTAAATCTCCTGCCAAAGCAAAGCCATCATCACAGTGGTTTACACATTTATTATTTGATGCTTGTAATTTATGGCTATAAATGAACCTTAAGGCAACCTGAACAAAGCCAGTCCTACCACAAGACAAAGCAGTACAATTACCTCAAGAAAAAGATTTGGGGTGCTACATAAATTTATAAAAAATTATTGCCACTATTTTTCTGGAGTGTGTGTATATGGATACCCTGAATTTAATGAAACACTTTAGAAACCCCTTTTCTTTCTTTGAGTCATTGTTGAGAAGTCTGTGCAGTGTTCTTCATAAGACTTCAGAAGCAGATAGCCGTGGCCTTCTAACTATAGTTCAGAGAGTGTGACTAGCCCAAAGTTACCTAGTTGGATCTGTAGCACAGGCAGAACTGAAACAATGGTCTCTTAGTTTCTAACTTGGTGCTTTATCACAATACCCAATCAGCTCTTTGAAAAAAACATAGCATCTCTAAAACTGAGATGGTGCTGAAGAGCACACAAAGCCAGCATGGGTGCCAGAACACGACTATAAATATACTTCTTTAGCCTCCAGATCAGGAAGTAGATTCTTACAGCTGGTGTTAGATGTAGCTGAAACTTCTGGAAAACTGACAGATCTCCACTTAGCATAATAACCTGGGATTAATGTGTTTCTAAACACACTAAGTTTCCAGGAAATTGTTACCAACCAGCAAATAAATTATTTCAACTTTTTGGATTGAACTGTTAGGGGTATTAAAGTTATTACCAGATAGTGGGAGCAAGTCTGCATTTTTATCTCAACTCTGAGAGATAAAATCTGGGTCTAAAGTCCCTTTTTTAGCTTCCAGTGGCAGCCAACATAAAAATAGCAAATAACCATATCTGTATATTTGGAATCTTAAAAGAAAATGTTCAGACAATCCCTCATACCTTGGTCACCTCGCAGCTTGTCTACTGCAATGCTTTCTACCTGGAGCTGCCCTTTAAGGCCATCCAGAACCAAATGAACCATTTGCATCCAGAACCATTTGTTCCAGTAATGTGGGTGATGGGCATGCTTCACTTTGCTTATGCAGTACTTCTGCTTCATAAGATGCACTGGTTGGCAGTTTGCTTCTGGGTTTGATGCTGGTTGTTACCTACAATGCCCTACAGGCTATACTGCTTGGGTTCCTTGTATTAATGCCACCTGTTGGGATCCTTCAAACTCATCTTCTCTGCCATAGGGCCTGCCCCCGAGATCTGGATGGCCCCACCAGAGACTGAAGACTTTTGGTGAGGGTAAGTGAGGCTCCCTTCTGGGTAATGTACTTTGCTCTGAGTTTGTCTGGTTTGCACCATCTTTTGTTCTTTGTTTTTATTATTATTTTATTGTTTTCTGTATTTTTAAGTGTGAAAAGACCAGAGTTGTTGGGTGTCTGGCATTCTAAAAAATATAATAAGTAATAAAAAATATATAAAATGTGGACCTTACTAGAGTCAGGATTCTTCAACTGTTCATGTAACCTTCCTTATCTGTCAGAAAGGTCTCTGAAAAAAGGCACATAAAAATTCACCTAGGAGACTTATGACAAGGATGAATCCTGAATTAGCAAGCAAGAATTCTCCTTCAAATTAAAAGAAAAAGGACTCACTGTTAATTTGGCCAATTTTTGTTGGTTTTGTCTTATTTTTTAGCTGTTCTTACTAGAGAATGTACTTTGTAGACAAGTAAGAGTCTTGGGTAGAACACAAACAACAACAACAACAAAAACCAAGAAACCATAAAGAAATCATGAATCCCACTTGCACATTACACCAAGCTACAGTTGCAATCAATGTATCACCCAAAATCAAGATGCCAAATTTTGGTTAATTGCTCTAAAATTACTTATGGAATATCAATGGCCCTGTTTACATATCATTTTAAGCCAAAAAAAAAAAAAAAAACTGAAAATACTCCCCCACTTTGACATTGACATGAGGCATGAATGAAAAGCCATCACTAACCACAATAAAATGTTTGCTCTAACACTGGCAATTGAGCAGTGACAGAATATTCCTAAGACATGGATGTGAAAACAAGGAATAGAATTAAGGTATGTAAAAAAGGAGTGATTTACCTTGGATAAACATTTCCAAAGACATGTCCTAAAAACTGAACTCGTGCCAAATAGCCAAGCAGTGGGTACACAGTCACCATCTGGAACAGCAGGAATATTCTTGCAAGAAATGACATGATGTCATTACTGGGGAAATTATCTAAAAAATTCTAACCGAAAGAAAAGTTTGTGATGTAAGTGAAAAGGGGCTATCATTTCCTTCTGCCTCTATGATCTACTGTAAGTATATCAAGTATTCTAAAGCAATAAACATAAAGATGTTTCTATATAAAGAATATATAACACATCAACACTGTCATGATCATAATCGGAATACATAAGATTTGGAGAATTCTACAACTGCTTCATCTACCGGTACATATTTGTTTTTTTAATCATGGAAACAATTATGCATGAAGTTACAGAATTTTGTTCCTGAAGCACAAATGAAACTGATGGCTTGGTTTCAGAATTTTAAAAACTGCAGTTTTATTGCAAATTAAGTTTTGTATCTTAAATGGGACAAATTCTTAAGTATTTTATATTCTCAATACAAACACATGCACACAGATGCAGTTCTATATTTACTGTATGTATTGTTTTTCCTTAAACAAATTTATTTTGACATAGATTCCTAGAGAAATGCATTTCTTCAGATGTATAAAAAAATATTTTGAGATGCTCAGCTACATTGGAACATTAATAGAAAAACAATTTTTGCTTAATGATCTGTTTTCTTTTCCAGCTGTACAGATAATTTTTATTTATGCACCAATCCAGTGTATATCATCATACTTCCATATAACCACTGTTTACATTTGGAAAATTGTACCATACTTTAATTAGACACTGAGCCAATCTGGATGTCATCTCAGCTGTGTAAACAATATGACAAATAAATATTTGGTTGGCATATGAACTGTTTGTTCAAGGTGAGAATAATCCAGGAAATCCCTAATTAGCCCTTATTTCATATTTCATTTGAATCAGGAAACTATCAGCTTGGAACTTCATATAATAGCCTAAGGATTGTAGCTGTTGCAGAACTGATAAACATATTTTTCCAGTTCAGACAAAAAAGGAAACTATACTTAATTAGAAATGTCTTCATTTAGTTTTAGCTTCTTTCGCTCAAAGGAGATGAATGTACAGATTAAAAACTCACTAAGCCAGCTAATTAAACCAAGACACATTTATCTGAACCAAATTTCTTAATTTGAAAAAGTAATCAACTATTAATATCTACACTGAAATGATTGATGCAACTGGTGGCTAATATTTAATGATACCAATATAGCTTTAATTACAAAAATCTGGTATTATTTAAGTATGACATTGTTCATAATTCTGGCCTGATCAAATGAAAGTGAGATTTGATAATAACATTACATTAAATGCAGATGAAGATAAAAGAAAAGAGAGCAATCCTTACCTATAATCCTTAGCAAGTTAAAAAAAAATCCCCATATTAAAGGTTTCTGTACCTGTTCTATACACTCCTTGCTCAATGGTGGAGATGGAAAAGAGCCAAAGATTAGCACCCCAACATAGAGATACGTTAAACCAACTAAAAAGTAGGCAATTGAAAGATCTCTGACCTGTAGTTAAAACACAAGAAACAGCAAACAAATAAAATCAGCTTGTTTCAATTATTGTATGGAAAATTAGTTACAGGACAAATCCTTAAACAGTTAAATCATGGAACAATGATTCTTAAATTATTATTTTTAATTATTAAGTAGATACAATACAGTGATTTTGGGGCTGTGAGTTAAAGCAGTTACACACACACAAACAAAACAATTTAGCATACATTCAAGGGCATGAAGAAAAGTTATAAATTTGGAGATCAAAGCTAATTAAGCCATGATGTTCTCAAAATGAATCAATTTGGGCCAGGCCCCATGTTAAAAACTAAACTTTTCCTTTTCGAAAAATATGGATATCAAATGACATATGGAAATTGTACAAGTGTCTTCTTTTATTGAATGCTTTTTATACTATTTAGTTGGGGAGAAAATGCTTCAAGTCTAGCAGTGCCTTTTAGTTTTCTACACATTTAAAGTACAATGTGGGCAAACTACAGCACTGGATAAAGGCTCTGTTGCCTTGATGAATGAAATAATTTTTTTCCAGATTTCATGGCTTACAAAAGAGGTGAATCAGGGGTGAAGGATGGGAAGGGTTTGTTAAAAAAAAAATTCAAATGGCAACACGCTAAAAGAGGGCAGAGCTTTGGCCACACAGTTGCAGCTGCCATTTTGTTTTTTTCGCCCTATTGTAGATGTTTCTGTCACTAATTTTCAACTAACCTATCCTTACAATATTATTGTACAAATAAAAAGGACAGTGAGGAAACCATGTTTTTGTTGTAAATTCCTTGAAATTGAATAATAAGCAAGTTCATTTTTATTTATCCTTTTTTGCCTGCAAAATCCCCTTTTCAGAAATTGGATCACTTTCTAAATCAGTCTTTTGAGTTTTATTTCAGGACTGTTGCTCATCATTTGAAGCAAATGTTATGACTTCCTCCATTTCAAAGAAAAAGTTGTGGTTCACCCAATTTCCTTTTCACTGGGCTGCTTTATTATAGAGATTGTAAGCAACAATCCCTCAAAATCCTTGCAAGATTATGTCTTCTCTGACAGCTCATTCCATCCTCTTTCCATTTCTACCCCTTTTTCTCTTTTTGGATTCTCTTTACAAACAGGCACTTATACAACATCTTGGACCATACTGTAGTCTATTCAGTTCTTTAGTAGTGGGTTATTGATTTGTGATTTATGATGATATAGTAGAAAAACAGAGATATAAGATTCTGGGGGGATATTTAAAAAAGTCAAAATGACAGCCACGTCATAGGATCAAATCCATGTCCCTATTAACATCATTCTTGACTCTGGCATGAATACTCCTGGTTGACTTCATTCTTCTCAAGTGGGGATCTTCACTTGGATACCCAGCACTGTTTGAACATTTATCTACATTCCTACAGTGTTTTCACAGAATCATAGAACTATAATGTTATGTGTAATAGAACCACAGACACCTGCAGTGTGTAGAAAAACATTAAATTTTTCTATTTTGCAACATTCCATTTTTATTTTCTTGTTTTTTAATATTTATTAAATTACTCTCACAACTATATCACCTGCTCCAGGACTACAATTACAAATCAGAACTCAAGAATGAGGGGAAAAAAGAAGAAGAGACAGTGTATACTCTCTGCAACCCAGATTTTGTCCAAGTCCCTGAAGCAACGGAAAATGAACAATTATACAACAAACACAGACAATTTCAGTGAGTAATTTTGACCTTAATTTATCTTCAGATAGATATAATTCCTTTAACTCTTTGCAATGGGATCTTCAAACCCAAATTGAAAACCAACAACTTATGGAACTCTCTTCTTCCTTGGCAGAACATGCTTCCCCTCCCCAGTCTGTTGCTGTCTGTTCAACAGCTGCATTACTCAAGCAGGATAGGGATGATATGAATTTAAAAATGGAGAACGTAACAGATTTTATATCTAGTCAATGCTTGCTCATAGCACAAACAGTGATCTCAATCTCTGAACTTTGAACTTGTTTTACTGCAGACATTTGAATATTAATACACTAGTTCTGGAAACACTAGACTGCTAGTGAGATCTGCAAACATTAGGCTAGGCTACAGTCTAAAGCAGTGGTTCTCAGCCTGTGGGTCAGGACCCCATTTGGGGTCGAACGACCATTTCACGGGGGTCGCCAAACAACGCAGTCCGCCATTTTTTCCCCCTTTTCCTTAGCTGTGCTACTCCCTTTTGTTCTATTGGCTTTTGAAAGCCAGTAGAATAGACTCTCTTAAATAGAGTCTAATTCTATTGGCTTTCAAAAGCCAATAGGAATTGTCCAGGCTGTCTCTGCCCTGCTGAGCCCGCCAAAAGTCCCATTCTGCAAACGGTGCTGTACCAGTTGAGTAGTCCTCGACTTACGACCGGTTGAGTGGTTCTCAACTTACAACCGGTTGGGGGTCGTGGCATTAAAAAGGTTGAGAACCACTGGTCTAAAGCATTAGGCTGTGCTACAGTGTAAAAAGTTTACAGATTTAGATTCCATATTCACCCAGAAAGTAACACTTTTTTTCTCTTTCTCTACTTATAAGAACAGAAAGATGAGAACCTTCTAAAATAAGCATCTCTTCAATACAAAGGAGTTAGAATATGTTATTTTTGTGTTGCTATAGTGAAAGAGTTTAGCTTCAGTTTTATGCTACAAAAACCATCAAGTTCAGCTCTTATGTTAAATATGGAAAGCATATTTAGTAGAAACATCAAATAACCGCTGCTCAACATGGTCACCATGAACAATTAAAATAAGTTTGAAAATATGGGAGAATAAAGTTCATGTGATCATTTTATAAAAGATTAGGACTCCTGGGGGGCTTCCCAGTCATCATTTACACTGATAGTTTTTTTTTCCGTTTTGTTTTGCTCCAAAAGCAGAAGGTTAAGGAAGCAATTCTCCCAAGTGGCTCAATTTGGAAAGCACCTTTCAGATTGTTTAAATGTTGCATATCTTTGTGACGGAATCAGGCAGAGCTTCATGTGATCCTTCTGTTATATGAAGAGAGATGGAGTGAACAAACTCTGATGCTTGTTTTATCTATCGCAGAAACAAAGGTAGCTAATATATGTGTCTGTGTGAAAAAGTATTTGCCCTCTTAAACTGATTAATTGGACATATCACTAACACTTCCTATAATTTCTAGGAACTACTATTTGGTCATTCAAAAATATTAAGTTTCTTTTTCATCCATTCCCTAGTAGATTGGTATGGCTGGGATCAGTTTGCCACATAATGCATTTGCATTTCACCTGTAGAGTTCTCTGATATAAAGCAGAATTCATATTACCTCCAATGATGGCAATTATCATGGCAGCAAAGCACACTGAAATCATGACACTACCATCTCCATCTTGAAGTTGGTATAAGTCCCTGTGGAATGGAGTAACCCCTATGGCTGTTGTAACTTCAAACACAGAATGGTTTGAAGTCAAGGACTATCTGTACTTCTTACTTCATTTCTTTTTAAGCTACTTCCATCATACAGCTTTAATCCATAGTGCCAAGCCAAGATAAGGAAGAATTTTTTTTTGTTGTTGTTGTTGTTATAGTTATTATTATTATGGATCATCGCACAGTCAGCCAGATGTTCAGACAGGATTTGGCATTTTGTCTACCTATCGAGTCCTTACCCAGGACCTGGTTTGTTTCCTGCTTAAGTAGGGGGTTGGACTAGATGACCTCCAAGGTCCCGTCCAACTTTACTATTATTATTATTATTATTACTGGAAGTTATAACTAGAACTCATGTAATTGCAATTGCTTTTTTCTTTGAGACAGAAAATAATAAATTCAGCCTACTTTCAATTAAAAAATATTTTGGAAGTGAGCTGTACTTATGGTAATTTCATAAAAACAAAATATGCATTTCCCCTTTCAATCCTCCTACTCTTTAAAGAGAATTGTAAATATCCTTTTGATTTCTTGGCAGAATTTAAAATTATTTTCAGGAATAATTGCCTCGTCTGAAGTGCCAAGTTTCACATTATTAGGTTCAAAGGTTTTATGCTGCTATTCAACAATACCCCCAAACCAAACCAAATATTTGTGTTCTGATGAATAAAAAATGCAGTCAAATAAATGGTCAAAGTAAAAGGGCAAAAAAATATATGCACTATACCTTTTTTTTTCAACATTCTTTAAAAATTTAATATTTTTTTGTTTAATGACATACCATGTTACCCTTCATTTTCTTCTTTCTTGATTCATTAGAGCCTTTAGTATAAATATACAAAAATCAGTGTTCTGGTCCTCATGTTAATGAACCAGAATTCATGCGTCATTCATGACTATTTAAGTTTGTGAACCAGCTGTAAAACATTTATCCAAATATTTGGAAGGTCATCCAGATGCTGAATGGCAAACTTGAGATAAGTATCAATGTTCTGCCTTGCTGCTCAATGCTTTTTCAAAAGTCAGTCGTGAAGACTGACACTGGCTGAAGTGACAAATGATTTTATGCAGAGCTAATGGAGTCATTTTGATAGAACATCCACTGTAGGGAAGATTCATTATTATCCTACATCTTTGCCAGTTGAAAATTATGTGTATGAATACGGAATGGAACAGCCTCGGAACATTAGAAATGGTTCTCTAAACTTTCTCAAACTGAAAGCCATCAATGACTTCCTTACTTGATTTATTCAGAATCTTATTTTGAGCAGGGCATGACATGATGTGCTTCAAAAAATCTGTACAGTAAGAATTTCATTCTGACATGAAAAGAGCTGGCCCTAATAATATTTGATTGTTTAATGAAGCATTCAGAGAAAACTAGCTGCAGGCTAAGGCGAGCAAACATTGACTTAAGGTGCTGAAATTTACATGACCTCAGCACAGGCAATACCTGAGCACATAATAACCATTACAAAAAGCATTTTCAGGAAGAGTCATTTTTTGCACATAAACATATTTTCTCCAGTAGTCACTTACGTTATTTTCTTGGTTCCTGTTATTCTTAAGTAGCGTAATTACACAATTATGGATAAAGAAAGCCAGGGTCAGCACACCTGTAAGCTGAGGAAAAAAGATCCTGAACTCTGGAGAAAGAAAAATATAAATCAGAATTTTTGGAGTGGTGACTGTTAATGTTACAATGAATATCCCAGATGTCCAGTCTATTGATTTCTAAGCCAAGTTCCCAATCATATTTGTAGTGGCAGCTGTTATACATTCAGGTAAGATATATTTAAGCTTGGCAAAACATACCGGAGAAGCAGCAAGCAAATTAGATGTAAAAGAAAAACCAACCATTATAGAAATAGCTGTATGAAATTAGAAATTAGACAGTTCTTAATATATTGCTTGCCTCCTGGACATTGTATTCATAACTGATATTGAATAAATCTTTCTCTCGCACATACATGCACACACACACACAAACATACCAACAAAACAAAACAAATGCCTAATTCCGCTCATTTTACTCTTCTTTCCTAAAAGCTATCCAAATAGTAGTTATAACAACTATCCGCCCATTTATATTGCCTTGTATTATTTACAATGCGGTTACATCATTTTAATCACATTTTTTAAATTTTGAAAACCATAGAAGACTAAATAATAATACTGAACACATTTAGGGGGGGGAACACATTTTCCACAAGAAAGAAGCATTTTCCCCAAAAAAAGTCACAGTCTGCATATTAGGAAAGTAAGAATGTTCTACTATGATGCAGAATTCAGCTATACCGAGGACTTCTGGGATCGGGGTTAATCTTGTCCTAACTAATACAAGTAAAATAAAAGCTAAAAGGAAGCATTCGTGAATGTGATAGTAACAGCTTTGTAGCATTTTCTACACTAGGATATGCAGATGCATTGAAAATGGGCCACACTCATCTCAAGTATGTATAGGAATGCAGATTTTAAAAAGGTAAAAAAACATTCATTTCCTTTGTATTTAAATATAATTTTTTTAAAAAAGGTTTAAGTTAAACATGTATGTTTATACCTAATACATAATTGTTTTCCAGCTTATTTTGTATTGATGGGTAACATCTTAATTTAACAATCAATAAAACATATTTCTTTTTGTTGTCATCTATTTTAGATACCATGAATTACTATTCAATAGTAAAATCTTATCTTTGAAGACAAGCTGTTCTCTGACTGACCAGCTAAGCTCAAAAAAAAGTTTTGCTTTCCCTTCTCTACCACTAGAATGGCTTTTCTGGCTATGTTTTAAAACAAATGGAAGTTTAAGCAGGACACTGCTTTCCTACTAGGTTACTTACATATCTCTATAATAGAAATTAGTTCCATTTGTATGAGAGACTAAGCCATGGTTGGCATAATGATAATTTACTGATGAAACCACATTTGGCTGGGTTCATGCACAGTATAAGCCTACGGCTAGAATCACAATAGCAGAAAGCAACAAACTATTATGATTAGCATGCTACATATTCCCAGTTAAGATATGGTGCCAGATTGAGGCCAGTAGAAATATTAGTACCAAAGAAAATGGAGTGGAATTATTTTGATGTCTGCTCTAGAATATCTATTTAAGAGTTTTGCTTTGTTTTATTGACATCCACACTGATCATATTGCATGTACAAAATGTATTGTTCCCATTTCACAAAAATAAGTAGAAACATGATGCTTCCTTGCTGACTTAATTCATAGATGACTTTTCAATGATGAGTTTGTTGCCCACCCATGATTTATCAAAATACAAGGCTGAAATTCTAATGTTTGTAAGACTTTCCTGATTAAAGTTAAAGCTGGATTTACCAAGTTCACTAACTTAACATCTGTTCAGATTCACAAACAACCCAAAAGAATTGCATAATTCTCTCCCTCCTCTTTTGCTCTTTTTCCTGCCTTGTTTGGATAATCATGCAAACATTCACAGATGAAGTGTGCCAGTAAATAGTAACATCTGAGCAATGATTTCTGACAAAAGCCATCTGGAAGACTATTATGGGAAAGCCTCATTGCATGTTAGACAAAACTATCGGACAGCCAAGTAGATGCAATAATGATAGCCAAGGGTGAAGTATTGGTCCATATACATATCCCGCATGTCTTCTATCACACACCAATGAGATTGTCACATGACAAAAATATGAGCTAGCATGCCAGGAGATTCTAACCTGGGCAAATGATCTGAGTATGATTACTATCATATTTACTCCCTACTCCCCATTCTTCCTACTTGGACTTTTACCTAGGAGATCTGAGAGAATTATATTTCACTCAAGCACTCAAAGTAAGCTCTCAAGCACAAATATTATTTTTCTCCTACTCTGCTGTCAAGCTACAGTTAAAATCACTCTGTTTCATCATGTGTATAGGAACTTGTGTTTACCATAAAATCAGCCACTAACTAAGAAAACCCTTTTAAGAACTATTATTTACTCTATTATAATGTCTGGAAAAAAGGAGGAGAAAATTATCCAAACCACAGATCCAAAATCTTGGTATGGATTCTAACAAACTCCTCCTCTGATGCTTCCCATTATAGAGAACAACAGTTCTTCTTCTTTTAATCAAAATGGCCTTAGTTTATGAATGTTATCCACCATATATTGTATTAATCATTTATTCAAACTAATTTAGAACTACAGTAAACTCTGCTGTTTAAACAGGTTTGAAATGTTCATGCTTGACAAGAAACAAATACATTTTGATTCTCCACATGAGAGGGAACACACTGTCCTTGACCCATACCATCTGTGAACTCTATGTAATGTGGGGTCAATTTATTTGAAAGGAAGTAGATTGGGAAAGATTGCCTCATAATTTACTAACAATTTCCAGTTCATTTTTCATGGTCTGCAAGAGGAATGGTAGACCATGAGGACTGCTGGCAGGAATATTCAAGGACAAGGCGCGGCCTGACAGCTGGCAGCCAGATTGTGTCACTGATGCCCTAAAGCCTTGCATGCTAAGCAGTGGTGTCCTCTGGGAATCCCCACCCACTTGTGCTGCTCCTGAGCTGTCCAGATGGTGACAGTAGGGAGGTGAGGCTTGGCCAGAGAGAATGGTCTAATCATCCTGCCATGAGGAAGCCTCTGTTAGGCATAGAGTGAACAAAATAACAAGAAAAAAGACCTTTCTGCTAGACAAAGGAAAACTCTTTCAGGCAAGGAAAGAGAAGGAAGTACAAATGAGAAAAGAAGGAAGGAAAGGAAAATCTTTCTGTTCAACAAGCAGAGAACAAAAAACAAAGCAGAATTTTGGGAGATCTTAGTGTAATGGATTTCCTTGCTTATATCATTCTTGATATAATCTTGAAAAAATATTACATACTAACCAGAAAAACCTAGCATTATGTGTTCTAATTAATGAAAAATACTGACAGCCAAGTGGCCATAGTGAAATGGCTATTTCACCAGTACTTATCCTGATTTATTAACACTGCCATGTTATCACCACAATCCTGTTTCTTAAAGGCCTTTTCCAACACTTTTCTTTAAAGAGAACATTTCTATAAAGCCTCTCACATGAGAAACCTACATGTGGAAGGCAATGTTCACAGAATATCAAGAACTTCTTGTTACAGGGTATTTTCGATTTTCTTTTTTTGAAGAAAAGAATGGCATTGAAATCTATCTTTAAGTATTCTGTTTTGTTTTTGTTGTAATGGCTGTTAGCTACTGTACCAATCCATATGGGCTAAGGGAAACCGGAGGACTGCCTATAAAGTATGAGCAAATTGAGAAGAAATCCCTAGGAGGAATCAATGTTTGTAATTCCTTTAGCTGTATGCGATTGTCCAGGAATAATTAAATTTAGCACCTGGATAATGATTCCCCAGGCAGGATTCCCCAAGAAAATAAAGAATAATCTAATCAAAGAGTAGCAGAAGAAAACAATATTCTTCAGAGCTTATTTTGACAACATATTGCAGTGGTAGCAGACCTTTTAGAGACTGAGTGCCCAAACTGTAACCCAAACCCACTTATTTATCGCCGGGTGCCAGGTGGGCATGGCCAGCTGGATGGGTGTGGTTACAGTGGTCATGACAGATTGGAAGGGCATGGCCAACACAATGTTGCTCCTGGGGAGAGATGCCTGTGGGGGCCAGGCAGGGTTGGGGGAGATCCAGAAGGTCTTTGGCGGGCGCCCTGGGACGAGCGGTAGGTAGGGTGGGTTCTCCCGATGTCCACGGGGGAAGAAGCGGTGAGGAGGCTCCACGTCCAACCAGCCCAGCCCAGCCCAGCTTGGATGCATGCCTGTGGAGCGATTTTGCGGGCCCCCCCCCAGCAGCCCGATCCAGGCTACAGAGGGTTGGAAAAGGCCTCCGGAGCCCAGGTCGGCCGTGGGGGGGCACAAAATCACTCTGCAGGCATACCTGGACTTGCGCTGGCAGCTTCCGTTCATACAACCTGCATTGTATGACAAAAAAAGCCCCGCCTCCACCATCCAGCCCGGATCCGCCCAGCTCTTGCAGCTGTTCCGACTCCCAGTGCAGAGAGAAAGAGAGCGAGAGCGCTGGCGCATGTGGAGAGGGAAGGGAGCAGCCCTCTGGGGCAATGGCGTGCGTGCCCACAGGGACGGCTCTGCGTGCCATAGGTTCGCCACCATGGACATATTGTATTCCCAGCAAAAGCAAAAGAAATAACCTGTGACACCTCTTTACAAGTCTTTTTATAGGAAGAAGAACAAAACCACTGTCTTGGCTTCAGATCTGAAGTAGAATCACCACTGTGGTGACTATCCAATTTAAGGATTATGTTTATGTGTGTACCCAGTTATCGTATCTTATTTAGTGAACTATGGCTTAGCATGGGTGACCCAGTTTTGCCTATAGGGATGGTTCCAGCCTTCATTATAGGTAGAGAAGCTACAGGCCTGATGTGTTTTAGTCAATTAGGGCTTGGATTATAGCAAGATAGGTATAAGTAAGATTACAGCAGAAAGCATATTCTGCCCTGCAGGCCCTATTCAGTCTGTTAAATTATTTAAAGGGAATAGTCCAGAATTTTTTTTTAAAGTTTACCTGGCACAAAATATGTATTTGTTGCAGTCCAATCAAATTCTAAATGGAATCCTAGAAGAGCAGCTTTCATAGTAACAAGAATAACTAAATAAATGACAGAGACAGTACCTGCAGTGGGGAAAAAAAACCAATGATATCTAGACATATTTAAACTAATGGACAGAGGGAGAAAAAAGTTATTTAACCTCTATGAGACTTAGCACATTACAGTCCAGCTTCTCTCTTTTATATTCTTCTTGTAAATCAATTTAATAGTGACTGACTGAGATGAAGTTACTTGGCATCAGATTCAACAATACCAAACTGGAACATAAGTTAGTGAGAGGACAAAATAATTTTAAAATTATTACTACTACATTATGATTACTACTATTATTCCTATAATAATTATCTGAAAGAAAAATTAATCAAGGTTTTGGACACTAGAAATTCTAGACAAAGTAACAAAATACAGATGTGTTTTAAATGTGGATATTTTCATAAAAAATAATGAATTTGCAGTACAAAAACTTCCTTTATAGTACTGCAGTCCCTCTGCAACATAAAGCGAGCATATTTTGCACATCCATTTGCATAAACATGATCTGATCCTCAAGGATAAACAGATTGCATTACTGCCTTGCTTTACAATAATATTGCAGAACAATATTGCTTTACAACGTATAATTTCACCTTATCTGTTACTTTCATTATTACTTTACCTATTACTTTCTTATATGTGTGTGAATATACTTGCATACAGAGAAAATAAAACAGCATTTGAAAAACTGGAAACAAAATGAGCAAAAATATAAACTCCTATGGATTTCTAAGCCTTCATAGTCTTGTTTTAACCTTTTACTATTTCAAGAAATATCTCCAATTGAATAAAAAGAATAAGGAAAATGCAAAAAGTTTGAAACCTTTCTGTTATGGTTAAAGTAGACAATTGTTCTTTCTTCCTTGGCTGAACTATACAATGTAATAGATTCACAACTGGATTACTGCTGTCTTTTTTTAAAGTTTAAAAAAACACAATTAGAGATGTCAACTAGCAAAAGTTAACCATTTTGAGGGATCATTAAACATGATGAAATCTGGACGAAATTGCTTTCCAGTTACTGGAGAAAAAAGAGTGGAGCAAAATGTTTTCTTTTCCCACAGTGGAAGCACTGTCTTTGTAAGAAGGAAGCATTTTCCAGTGGAAAGAGAGGTTGAAGAACTAAAACAACATATGAAATCTTCCCCAACATTTGCTGCTCCAAGTTAATTCAAGGCCTGTTATTCCCCTCACCACCACCCCTGGCAAGTTTTAAATTTCATGAGATGCTGAAAAATCAAAGCAAATACTTTTGTGTAGAGATGTCCATAACTAATAAAAAATGTATTGAGTCAAGATATCTAAAAATAATCTATTGTGCATACTTTTTAAATTTTTAAAATGATTACTACATACCTAATATGTTAAACTTGGCAAAAAAAGATGGAGACTTAAAATTCAACAGTAGAAGAATGATGGTTAAATAAAATGGAACGGTTTTGGATTTGTCCCACCACTTTTCAAATTCTTCAAATTCAGCAGCACTTGTAGAAGTAAATTCAAAAGTTTCATTTCCTGGTACTTCATGGCTACCATCACTAGGACATATTACTGTAAAATTAAAAAGGAAAGAAAATGATTGTTTAGCTTAAGGAAATCATTTGCACTTGGTGGTGATGGTGATAATGAGGAAGTATGTGTTGGAAATCAAAGCTTGAACTTTAGTTCAGTGTTTCTCAATCTTGGTTGGCTGGAAATCCTGGGAATTGGAGTCCACCCATCTTAAAATTGCCAAGATTAAGAAACACTGCATTAGATTAACCTCTTCAAATAAGCATAAGCAGTGCCCTGCTGGCCCATATAGTCCAATTGTCTGTTCTTACAATGGCCAGTCAATTGTACAAGAAAGTCCACTAGATTCCCTCCAGAGCAGTCTCACTGCCACTAAGACTAATAGCCACTCATCCGTATGGCAAAGAATCATTTATGTCTAAAGCAAAACAATAACCTGAGAATAAATATATGAACTCTAATCCATAGAAAAGAGTCAGTTTCATGTAATGGCTAAGGCATCAGCTAGAAGCCAGAAGACAGTGTTCTAGTTCTACCTTAGACACAAAGGCAGCTGAGTGACCTTGGGCCAGTCATTGACTTTCTTTGCCCTAGTAAGAAGGCAATGGTAAACCACTTTCAAAATCGTGATAAGAAAACCACAGGGATTAGTCCAGGTATTGCCAGGAGTCAACACTGGTGTAAAAGCACTAAAACCAAAAACATAGAAGCTCTGTTTATGGCAGGCTTACTTTTATTTAAGCATGATCTCCATATTGTTTATATGCACACATAATTCTTGCAGGTAAGAAATGAATACCGGGAGTGAGCCTTCCTTTGCTTGGTATCCTTCAGATAACATTATTATAGCTACTGCCATTTCCAGACAACATGACCAAAGGCCTTGGGCTATGCTGCCCAGAATGATGGGAGCTGCACTCCAGTAACTCTGAAGTACCTCTGAACAATAATCCCCATCCTTCATCATGCAAACTGCCCTTTTCATGCTGCCATATGGTCATTAGGCCTCTGATAGGGAAAGATGGGATGTGCAATATAAGAGTGCTGCATTTAACATCTCATTTGTTGCAGCTGTGTAAATTAATACACTCTTCCCCTATTCACTATTTGTTGCAATGAAAAGAGAAGAAGGATCAAGGCAGCTATCAGAGGGTTATAGTTTTCCAGTGTATTAATAAGTCAGGTTGTCTCTAGATACATTAAAATGTTGGTTTTATTTCACTCAAAACATTTCGACAGCTGGGCAGTGCTGCAATTCCCAATGAAATCACCACAACTTTTGTAGCTCAAATCATTTGAATACTGATTAGTCTAACTTATAACTCCTTGCACAGAAACTCATTTTGCCAATTTTCTGCTTCCCAAATCCCCCCAGAATTACTGGGGTTGCTTATGAGGTGGATACTCTTTTCCTTTTGTTATAAGTCTTTAAAACCTACATAGGGAATTGGTACTTTTTCAAAATTAGCCACACAGCACAGTATGTGTCCAGCCAGAGCTATAATGTACCACTGAACACAACCTTGGGTACATACAAATTATAAAACATATGCACATCAGGAAGGCATCTGAGCTGGAATTAACACAATCCACGTGTACTCAACAGGAAAGAAATGGCTAACACTCTGTCATCTATCATATATATATAATTCCTTTATATTTTTTTGTTTTATAAGACTCTTGATGTCCCTGAACATGTTTTCTCTTCCCCTTACTTTCAAATTGGTTTTCTTCTAGAGCACTGCCTCAGTTCTAGCCTAGTGAAACAAGTCCAAATACTGCAAAGATGTCACGTAAACTGCAAAATAATCTTTTGGATCATTATTAGGAGCCAAGGGTACAGTCTACCAAACTGCAGGCTTCTAAGCAGTACATAAGCAGCATGGAATTTCAGCAGCATGTAGTCATGTATGATTGGATATAGCTGTGCATCTTAGTTAAAGGATGGTTCTCCTGGATGTCAGCAGATTCCAATATCTGTTTATTTATTTTTGATTTTTCATAGCCCCAACAACTTGAAAGACTTATGTGGATTACAGCAAGTTCAAACTATAAATGTAATGGTAGATTCATAATAGTATACTGCATTCAGATCCAGCATTCTTTCCCTTTAACAACAGGTTTCTGAGTTGCAGATAATACTTTTCACAAAGGGGAAGATAATACATTCAGCATTCTTTCCTTTAACTACAGATTTCTGAGTGGTATATAATACTTTGCACAAAAGGGAAGATAACACAATCAAGCAACAGATCCAGACAAGTGGAACTCTACAAGGGAAGGTGCTTTTTTTATAGTTTTAAGATATTAATGCACATAAAAAGAGTTCCAGAGTACTGTCTATTCCTTTTACTCATTAAATTTTCCACCATTCATTTTATACAATTTTCTCATAGTTGTGCAGTAGTTTCCAAATGGGAATTTTGATTTTGATTTATGAGGTATATGATCACAATAAAGATCTGATTTGATTTGATTTGACTCTTAGAACTCCCCAATATTCAAAAGATATCATGTTGGAAATTACTAGGTTAGACCTAGGTCAGTGATGGCAAACCTTTTAGAGACTGAGTGCCCAAACTGCAACCGAAAACCCACTTATTCATCGTAGGGTGCTATGTGGGTGTGGCCCATTGGCTGGGTGTGGCCCATTGGGTGGGCGTGACTGTGGTGGTAACAGCAAACTGGGTGGGACTAAAAAGTTCAATCAATCAATTCCAACTTTGCAAGATCTTTTTTTTTTCCCTGCGAAAAGTTGAAATTGACTGATTGAACATTTTTTTTTGCACATGGCAGCAGAGACCTAAAGCGAAAAGATTTTATAAAACCCAGCTGAAGGCCTAGGACTGAGGCAAATGGCACATGTGCCCACAGAGAGGGTTCTGAGTGCCGCCTCTGGCACCCATACCATAGGTTCGCCACCACTGATCTAGGTGGAAGACCAAAATCATATAGAAGGCTATCTTTTTGAGAATCTAGTATGTCATTAGTCATGATTTATACAGAAAGCATGAATTAATTTCCCAGTGTAATTTTTTTTATCCCATGCTGGCCTTTAGCCTAGTTGGCTACAACTCCCTGAAGCACAAACCTTTGTAGAGAATAGATTGATGTAAAACAATAATTAGCATTATTTTTCCAGTTTGTTTGTTCCTTGCTATCTATATAACTGTAGAATTTGAGAAAAATTAACAGCATTTCTGAAATTTACATGAAGTTACAGTGAAGGCTGAATTCTTCCTATTGGTTTGATGCAACATTTAGCTAGCAGAGTTAAGAACAGTACCATGTAATAACAAATAATGAAATAACATCAGGGTGGCTTTTGAGATAAGCTTTTAAAACTAAGATGTTTCTGTTGTGAAACTATGATCCCTCTGTTCTGCAAATATCTGAAAAAATCATTTTTTCTTCAAGATACTAAACTATTCAAGTGACTAAACTAGTAGACCAGCAAAACAACCTAAAAAGTGAGACTCTGCTATTGCCAGGATGGACAAGACTAACAATTCTGAACCTTCTTTTTTTGTTCTCATTCGTCTTGTAGTCTGAAAGGGCTTTGTGCTAGGTGGTAAATTTCATGCCTTAAGATTTGCACAACCTTATGGCACTATTGTAATTCTCAATTGTTCACCCACGCAAAAGAAGGATTCATTGTTTGATGAAAGGCTGTATTAGAACTTTCCACCTGGAAAGGCAGAAGTTCTAAAAGTGTTTACATATGCACTATTACCAGCATCTATTTCCATGCTTGAGAATTTGAGTCAGTGAAACACTGTGTGGTCTTCAGTTATTATCTATCTGAAAGCAAGACAATTATCATTTTATGATTTATTGTTTAGGGATTATTTACCAAGATTATTCCTCTCTGCCTACTTTAAATCTATGAGGAATGCAAACATGCAAGGCTTACAAATGATTCACCATCCCAACTGCCTCACAATGTTGAAAATTGAGAATTTTGTCCTTAAGGTAAACCAGATTCCAAGGTACGGGAACACTGCAACAGCAAGAATTGTTTTTCCAGTTTGCTTACCTCTATTGCTTCCATTTGTACCAGGAACAATGTCTGTTACGTTAATATCATGAATATAATCTAAAAATAAATAAATAAGGAAACTTACTTAAAGGCACAGAACAATATTCCAACAGTATTCCAAAATAAATATGTTTTAGAACATTCATAATATGTATTAAAAACAATATAAAGAGATTAATGCAAATTCTGAGGAAAACTGGATCTCTTTTTCATGAAATGTCCCTTTTTTTAAATTAGCATCAGGAGAAAAACAAGATATATGTACAAAGAGTATGTTGAATCAACATGTCCAAGACAGAGTTGAAATATCAGTGCTAGGGATTGATCACCTTGGAGAAAATCTGTCTATGTGGCTAATGGAGTCGAAAATTGATGGCACATAATTAATCAGTTCAGTCTATGATATATCTTAACTTCCACTGAAAAGAAGACTTTTGAAATATGGTTAATTTGAATACTTTCTCATGAAACCTTAGGCATTGGAATAATAATGATGTGGAGAGGAACAGTAGTCCTTGACTTACAACCATTTGTTTATTGACCATTCAAAGTTACAACAGCATTGAAAAAAAGACTTGACAGTTTTTCACATTTATGACTGTTATAGTATCCCCATGGTCATGTAATCAAAATTCAGACTGATAACTGGTAGTGGTGGGATTCAGCTGGTTCACACCACTTCGGCAGAACCGGTAGCTAATTTTTTGTTGCCCAGGCCCAGAATGAACTTCTGGAAGCAGCATCCACACAGAGAACCAATCAAATATTGTTCACATATTTGAATCCCACCACTGGTAACTGGCATGTATTTATGATGATTGCAATATCCTGAGCTCATATGATCACCTTTTGTGACTTTCTGACAAGCAAAGTCAATGGGGAAGCCAGAGTCACTTAACAATCCTGCTAGTAACTTAATAGCTACAGTGATTCACTTAACAAATATAGCAAAAAAGTCGTAAAATAGAACAAAACTCACTTAACAACTGTCTTGCTTAGCAACAGAAATGTTGGGCTCAATTGTGGTCGTAAGTTGAGGACAACCTGTAATCTTATCTGTCTCTGTGAATCATAAGATCTAAATTACAGTATTCTATTAGAAGAGAACACAAACATCTTGCCTAAAAAGCTTAACATGATAAAATCTAGTATAAATTTTATGAGTTTGGAGAAAAGAATGTATTAAAAGGTTCATTGCATCATTATGTATGGCCTTGTAAAGTTATTCCACGTTATATCAGATTCTACATTGGCCTATTTTTAAAAAAATAATAGAAAGCACACATTGAAACATAGAAAGTTGATATACTCTTATTGTTTGCAGTCAGACAGGTAGTAGCAAGATTCTGGAGAGCAGGAAAAAATCTGAGTATTTCCATATGGTGAAAAATATACCGGAAAACTGGTTAAATGGAAAAGTTAACCAATAAAACAGAATGTGATTTTTACTTCACTGGTTTCAACATATGTGTAATAAAGGCATAATGATTGCCTATTAGCCAGTTCCAGACTTCTAGACAAGATAAAAAGGACAAGTATAGAAAGTGGAAAGAGGGACACATAACTAAGTCAGAATATCAGCAAATAAGTCAGAATATAGTAAATAGCCCGAGCCTACAAAGATGAAAGAGGAAAGCTAAGGGTCAAAATGAACTAAGGCTTGCGACCAAAGTCAAAAATAACAAAAAAAGCTTCTTTCAACATGTAAAAAACAAGAAAAAAGTGAAGGAAATGATTGGTCCCTTAGTGGGTGAAAGTGGCAAGAAGGTGACAAGCAACAGGGAGAAAGCAGAACTATTTAACTTGTTTTTCGCATCTGTCTTTACACAAAGGGAAAAAAAAGACCAACCTATCAAAAATAGTGCCATAAATAACAGAATAGAAACACAAGTTAAGATAGGCAAGAATATGGTAAGTGAGCACATGTCCAAACTAGACAAGTTCAAATCACCAGGACCAGATGGATTACAACCCAATGTTCTCAAGGAACTGGCAGATGTGATATCAGAACCACTGAAATATATTTTTCAAAGTTCCTGGAGCACTGGGGAACTACCAGAGGACTGAAAAAGAGCTGAAAAGGGGAAATGGATCCAGGAAATTACAGACCTATCAGCCTGACCTCAATATCTGGGAAGATTCTGGAAAAGATAACCAAACAACTAATCAGCGAACAGCTACAGGCAAACAAAGTCATTACTAAAAGCCAACATGGGTTTGTCAAAAACAGATCATGCCAGACAAATTTTATTGCATTCTTTGACCAAGTGACAAAATTAGTGGACCAGAAGAATACTGTGGATATAATTTACTTGGACTTCAGTAAGGCATTTGATAAAGAAGCCACAACCTACTACTTGATAAGATAGAAAAATGTGGGTTAGACAGCATCACCACCAGATGGATTCATAGCTGGCTGACCAGCCATACTCAGTGTGTGGTTCTCAATGGAACCGCATCTACATGGAGGGAAATGTGTAGTAGGGTGCCCAGTGTTCTGTTCTTGGCCCAGTGCTCTTCAACATCTTCATCAACGATTTGGACGAGGGGATAGATGGGGAACTCATCAAATTTGCAGACGACACCAAGCTGGCAGGAATAGCCAACACTCCAGAAGACAGGCTTAGGATACAGGAGGATCTGGACAGACTTGAAAACTGGGTGCTATCTAACAAAATGAAATTCAATGGTGAAAAAAGTAAGGTTCTACATTTAGGCAAGAAAAAAACCAAATGTACAGGTATAGTATAGGGGATACCTTGGTCAATAGTAGTAGATGTGAGAGGGATCTCGGAGTCCTAGTGGACAATCATTAAATATGAGCCAGCAGTGTGCTGCAGCTGCCAAAAAAGCCAGCACAGTGCTAGGCTGCATTAACAGGAGGATAGAATCCAGATCACGTGAAGTATTAATACCACTTTACAATGCCTTGGTAAGGCCACACTTGAAATACTGCATCCAGTTTTGGTCACCACGATGTAAAAAAGATGTTGAGACTCTAGAAAGAGTACAGAGAAGAGCAACAAAGATGATCAGGGGACTGGAGGCTAAAACATATAAGGAACGGTTGCTGGAATTGGGTATGTCTAGTTTAACGAAGAGATGGACGAGGGGGGGCATGATAGCAGTGTTCCAATATCTCAGGGGCTGTCCCAAAGAAGAAGGAGTCAAGCTGTTTTCCAAAGTGCCTGAGGGCAGGACAAGAAGCAATGGATGGAAACTAATCAAGGAGAAGCAACCAAGAACTAAGGAGAAACTTCCTGACAGTTAGAACAATTAACCAATGGAACAACCTGCCTCCAAAAGCAGTGAATGCTCCAACACTGGAAGTTTTTAAGAAGAGACTGGACAGCCATTTGTCCGAAATGGTATAGGGTTACCTGCCTGAGCAGAGGAATGGACTTGATGACCTCCAAAGTCCCTTCCAACTTTATTATTATTATTATTATTATTATTATTATTATTATTATTATTATTATTATTAGTAGTAGTAGTAGTAGTAGTAGTAGTAATAGTAGTAAAGTTGGAAGGGACCTTGGAGGTCTATTATTGTCATCGTCATTGTCATTATCATTAATTTAATTTAATTTAGTTTAATTTAATTTAAGACTGTAAGTATTTTGTTTCTACATATACTCCATGGCATTGTTAATGCACATAAATAAAATGGGGAGCAAATCCATCTACATTAGGAAAAAAATATAGCCTGGTCTAGTCTACCTTTTCACACTGCAGTGCATATATTGCCATCTAGTGGCTAAATGGTTTAAACAAGTAAATATGTCTTATTAAAGCAATGCTTCCCAAATGTTTTCCTTTATTACCCCAAACTGCTAATCAGAAACTCTTATCATATTTTGAGAATAGGTCCTAAGTCCCTTCATTCAGCACCATCACAACTTTGAGTGGTCGTTGAATGAAAAGTCATAACTCAAGGAATACCTTATAGAAACAACATCAATGAATGATTTTTATGTGATGTCTACAAATTTCCATTGGTAATTTCACCATTTTTGTTTTAATAGGAATACTTTGGGAGATTTTCAAATATATGTTGGTACATGTGACAATATTTAAGTCAAGTTAAATATTCCTGTTGTGATGGATAATGTCATTGTGTCATTACCCATACCCGCCCTCCCCCCACTTTTATCCAATTTTGGGTAATTATATAGGTTTGGGAAGCACCGCATTAATAAAATAATCTACTTGACAGCATTTCTTTCTAATTGTAATAGGCTTATTGCAACCAACTAGTACTTGCTTCCAAGTAAATGTGTTTAAGGTCAGAAAACCATAGTATGATACGTGATATGATAGAAAAGTAAGGTATCTAACCACTCAAACCATGATTAAATATTTACAAAGCTCAAAAAGTAGCTGTAAAATCAAGAATGTGCTTGTTTGCAAAATCAGTACTAGGATATGAAGATGCAAGAGGCTTTTCCGGGAATTGCTGTTAATTCATGCCATCACATGTATACACAAAAATACTGTTACTTCTGTTAATTCAGTTAAGAAATTACTTGGGGTCAACCCTGGTTTATAAAAAAAAAAAAATCCTGAAGAAATGAATACATACGTTAGGCCTTCAGTACAGGGAGTCCTCAACATTACAACAGCAATGAAAAAAGTGACTTATAACCATTTTTCATTCTTTTTTTTTATTTATTTTTATTGAAAATTTTTATAAATTTTTACAAAAAAACAGAAAAAAAATACGATTCAAAAACAAAAAACAACATATACAAAAAACTAAACATAACATCCCCTTCCCCATCCCCCCCAAAACACCCCCCCTTCCCCCCCCCGAGCTTCCCAGAGCAGAATATAGGCTTAATTAAAAAGGAATTAAAAAAAATTATATATAAAAAAGAAAAAAAATTAAGACTGAAATATATATATATATATATAAAAATAAAAATTATGAAAAAGCAATATGATATTTTTTTATATCCAATTTAAATTGTATAAATTCTATCCATTTATCCCAAACAGCAAGAAATTTCTCTTGCGTTTGTTCCTTTAAAAAAGCCGAAATCTTTGCCATTTCCGCCAGATAAGACACTTTGAAAAACCATTCCTGCAGTGTAGGCAAGGATTCCTTCTTCCAATATTGTCCTACTAACAGCCTTGCGGCTGTAATCAAATTTAACATCAATATAACCTCCTTTGTATCACAATCAGTAATTATACCCAACAAAAATAACTGCGGAGTAAATTTTACCCTCCTTCTGAAAATTCTCTGAATATTCCACCATATCTTAATCCAAAATGCTTTTATCTCTCTGCACGACCACCAAATATGATAATAGGTGGCATCCAAGCAACCACATCTCCAACATTTAGGCTGTAAGTCCGGGTACATGAAAGACATTTTTTGTAGGTCAAGGTGCCATCTATAAAACATTTTATAAAAATTCTCCCTTAAATTCTGTGCCTGTGTAAATTTGACATTTCTTACCCAAATGGTTTCCCATGTATCCAATGGGACTGGTTCACCAAAGTTTTGGGCCCACTTTTCATTCTTGAAACATCCCCATGGTCACATGATTTACATTCAAATGCTTGACAACTGGTTCATATTTATGATGGTTGTAGTGTCCTGGGATCATATGACCATCTCTTACAACCTTCTGACAAGCGAAGCCAATGGGGGAACCAGATTCACTTAACAACCATGTTCCTAATTTAACAACTGCAGTGATTTTCTTAACAGATGTGGCAAGCAAAGTTGTAAAATGGGGCAAAACTCACTTAACAAATTTTTCACTTAGCAGCATAAATTCTGGGATCAATTGTGGTCGTAAGTCAAGGACTACTTGTATGTACTTAGGATAATTTGGAAAAAAAATTGTACATCTAGTTTTAGATTCAACACCCACATTTCTCAATGTTAAAGAACAAATTTTAGAAGCATGTCAAATGGAGGACAGCAGTTTCTTAGAATCTATCAGACCTATGTTCTCTCAACTTGGAACTGGAATTGACGATGGGAAAGAATTCTTACTCTGAAGTCTGCATACATATAATTTCTGTCACATTGGAACTAATGGGAAGAAAATGGTGAAAAAACAGTGTCCATAAAAGAACGAGTTGCTTCAGAATCTCTCCTATAATGGCTTTCTTCCCTTCATCATCTTTCGCCCTGGTATCTGAAGCTCTATCTATAATTTAAAAATTTATTATCTTGATGATTTCATTTTTATCCCCAAAGAAAGATAACTGGCAAATATATATTCTTATATTAGAAGAGATTTTTATCTTTTCTAACATCCTTATGCACATGTGTGCATTTATTAAATTATATGATTTATTTAACATTTAGAGAAAGTGAGGGTTTTTTTTAACTAATGCAATCCCAAGGGCCCCCTTGTATCTATTTATTAAGTAGAAATACTCTGTCCCATATAAAAGCAATTAAAAGAAAAATGTATACTTACTATAAATACACTTTCCAGTGTTGAAAAGGAAATTAGTCATTAGCACCCAGTAAACCACCATGGCTCCAATAAGTGACACCAATGAAAATAAAAGGCTAGACCACTGACCGAAAGATCCAAAGTAATATTTACAAACATCTGGGAATTCCCAAGTTGAGGTATCTACTGAAGCTGACAAAAAAGAAAAAGATGATATTGATTTAATTCTGTACTAATTATTTTAAGGTCTTCATAGCAGGTTGATAACAGGCTTAAAACAAAAGGGACACTGCTATTATAATTATTTGTACAGTATAAAGTAAAATGCAAACTGAAAGAAATTGATATTTCACGTATATGTATATATACATGGAGATATATTTGTAGATTTGAGAGCCATCAAATAGCTGACTTGTATCCCTATATATATATTATATGATTTATTTAATATTTAGAAATGCTGAAGTTATTTTGAACTAATGTAATCCCAAGGGCCCCCTTGTATCTATTTATTAAATAGAAATACTCTGTCCCATAGGAAAGCAATTAAAAGAAAAATGTATACTTACTATAAATACACTTTCCAGTATTGAAAAGGAAATTAGTCATTAGCACCCAATGACACCAATGAAAATAAAAGGCTAGACCACCAAAACTTCAGTTTATCTAAATGTTAAATAAATCATATAATTTATATATAGGGAAAGAAGTCAACTATTTGATGGTTCTCAAATCTACAAATGTACACAAGAGATTAACATTTGGACTTGTACATCCTGCTAAGTTTGAGATAGTCAAATTATATAATCTGATAAAATCAGAAAGATTTAGGAGTTGCCCATTAAGAAGTTCAGGAACATTTCACTTATTGGAAGACTACTCTGTTCATTTCATTGCTACTTCCATTTTAATATATTACCTTAGGAAAGTCCTGTGTATTCTAGAAAATGTAGACAAAAAGGTAGTCTGGGAACATTAAAACTGCACATCTTTGAGTCATGTTCTTAAGTGCACCAATCTCTTCAGCAAGCCCACACATACTTTAATGAAACATATATATTTACTAAAACAATATACTTACGTATCATTGACCTAGATTTCAAAACTCTGTAGCAACAATAAAGAGTCAATATGCCCATCAGCGGAATAATACAGATTCCAGTAGTAAATCCAGCCTGTTTGAAAAGTAAACATTTAACTAAACACTTATGCAAATTATGGCATTGATGCAAACCGTTATGCACGATTTAGCAGGCAAAATTTGTCCTAACACAGAGACACAAAATTGTGCTACCTGTTTTATTCCCCAGGGAATACTTAATATAGATGTACCCATCATTGTATTCCAGATCATGAATCTAAATCAGAGGGAAAACACAAAGAAGAACCATAAGAAAACTTGCATTATATTTGAGGCTAATTCAAATATTTAGAATGTATTTCAAAACAGAATACTTTAAATAAATAAATGCAAGCAAAACACTTCACATACATTGTTACTATACTGGAATTTTTGCCAGAGCCATCAGTAGAGCCATCAATTTTGCAAGCGGTTCCCAAAGGACTATACACATAGATTTCTTCTGGAGCAGGAAGAACATGATCAGGGGCCACCTAACAAAAGAGGGGAGCCCATAGCATTAGTTCAGACTAAATCTTTAACATTTCAGTATCGTTTGCATTGTTTGGCTTCACAAGTCTATATATGGAAAATTTGGTTACAGTTATTCTGACAATTTTCAGATCTAGTGCTAATTCTTTTGACTCCTAAAAAGTATTCTGTCCAGGTTCAGATTAAATCCTGCTTTCTTTTTTCTTTTGTTTGCCACAGAAATTGGTCTGTTAACATTAACCCGAGGAACCATCTCACTCCAATGGGATTGGTCTGCCCCACTTGTGCAGGCAGAAAGGGCATGCTGCAAATCCTGTTGACCAAGGAATTCTGCCTGGAAGGGTTCAGGAGAAGAGCCTTTTCTAATTATGGCTTCCAATCTTTGGAACATCGTCCCCCCCGCGGGGAGATCTACCCCACCCTCTTGCCCTTCCAAAAGGACTTTAAAACCTGGTTCTGCCAATTGGCCTGGTATCCTGATGGGGGCACTCTATACTGGAGATCTTTAATAGACTGAGAGAAGATTCTACCTCCATCCCATTTGTATTTTTGCTTCCTTCCTCAGCCATCATTCTTAATTTTATTAATATTTATCATTTAAATATTTTAATTTTTTTATATTGTTGTTTTACCTTGTTGTAGGCTGCCTAGAATTGATGGTAAGATGGGCAGCATATACATTTAATAAATAAATTTAATACTAAATATAAAAATTATTCAGTCCTGGCTCAGATTAAATCCTTTTTTTTTGTCTGACACAGAAGTTGGTCTATTAATATTAACCAACTTTACTTTAAAAGAATCTGCTCTGCCTTGAAATCTGCTTCTCAGACATTGCTACTAATGAAATATGAATTTATTTATAAGGTCATCTCTAGTAATTTTATGATATTTGAGAAATACGCAGTTCCTCATACATCTGATTTATGTATAATCCAATTTTTTGACAAATGCAATCCGACATATTACATCTTTTTTCCAGATATACAAACTAATAATAATAATAAAAAAAGCTGAAAGGATAGCTCTCAGGTCATGCAGATAAATCAATCAGATTTTGTCCGAGAGAATATTCCTAAATAGAGATTAAGAAATTGAAAAAACACCCAAGGCTGTCATGGCTTTTTTAACTGAGCTTATGCAATAATTCAACTTTCATTCACCAGTGCTCTGTCAGAAGGCGAAGTGAGCCTGTTGTAGTAGTGAATCCGCTTGTTCATTGCTGAAGCTTCATCTGTTACTCTCTGTGTATCATCATTCACCCTAACAATGTTTGTTGGTTCTACATGGAATGGTCTAAAAGAAAAGCAAAAAGTTGATTACTGTTTAAGTCAGGATTAATAAAGGGCCAGTCTGTCACTGGCAACAAATATATGGCAACAAATAGCTATTTCTGAAGAGGATTTTTATGCATTTATAACTTTACAAGATCAAACATATAAACTTACTAAAGTTCATTACATTTTTTTAAAACAAACATGTTCCCAAATACTTTAATCACATAGAGAATTATTTTAGTAGATTCAGATGCTATTTGTGCAAGTTTTCTCGTGTACAGTTGTCAGGCAAAATACATTGTCTTTTCTTCATGATCTTAAAACCTAACAGCCCCACTCCAAAACTGAATGAGGATTTCTGCAAAAAAAATGCATTACACTGTCAGGATTTACCACAGTAGTAGTTTGGACACAATGCACTGAATCACAAACTAGGCCAATGTTTCTCAACTGTGGCAATTTGAACAGTTAAACTCCCAGAATTCTGAGAGATGATCACATATGTTCAAGCTGCCAAGGTTTAGAAACACTGAATCAGGCAATCATATTTATAAATGGATTCCACATGGTTAGAATATGAGTGTGAATCCAGAAATTATTCAGGTCAGATAACTATGAGCAAATGAGTCATACAAGCCAAGCTGAAGAGTAAAGTTAGTAAAGTTATATTTCTCATGTACTGTTATATTTTTGGGAGTCTAATTAAAAAGGAATAGCAGCCTCAATTGCTTTGGATTATTTATTTGCCTGAATCTATACACCATCACTATGAACAGTATAATCTATTATGACAGGACAAAAGCAAAATAAAAATGACACACTTATGTTGGCCACAGAACATATAGTTCAGTGTCTCTCTGGCTGACCAAAATACCAATAAAGTTTTCCCTGGAACCACAAGTTATATACATAAATGCTCTGTGTTTGAGGAAATGGAAGAATCTATGTTAGCATTTTGATCAGGATGGATTAAATGTCATTCCAGAAATATTTTCTTAAAATTCTTAATATATAAGATAATGCAAATTGTTTATCCTAGCAGCCTGATATGGTTTGCCACTGACCTCATGGCACATTCTCTCCAAATAGGACTAACTTTACAAATGCAAGAACAATCATGCCCAAAATGATGTCAACCGGGACACAGATTTCCTAGAAGTTTGCCAACTCCAGCCTACGATCAAGATTCCTGTGTTTCTCTTCTGTAATGTTTTAGAGTTGATTCCCACCTGTGAATGTCTAACTTATTAATCACAGCTGGAGCATAGAGTGATGTCAAGGCCCTCCTATGGTGTTTGGCTTACAAAAGTTGTTCTGAGCATTTGCAAATAATCTTCTGATGCTGTAGCAATGATTTAGGAAATACACATGTGCAAACTTGCACTTAATCTGGCTATACAATAAATGTCAGGGCTTCATGTGCCTTGGATTTCCATAACTTCCTATTGCTAAAGGCTGAGTAAGTTTTTAAGAAACACGTATCTTCCTTGTGTATGCAGAAAATAAGATGACTTTGTAACAAAAATATACATAATCAATTTCTAAGAGAACAGCTATAATGCTGACTTCCTTAAACAATATTTTCATATAGAATGTCTCTGGGAACTACAGTCTCAAGTTTTTAAGTAGGCACTGTTTTGAGGAAGGTAGCAATTCTCTAGTGCTCCTGTCACAACTACTGTGTCATGAAAAACCCATAAATCATGGTTTGGAGACTATAGTGGCTGGCTTCATTCAGCCCAAACTAAACCTATCACATTGTGGTTAAGCATATTGTATGAAAGCTTAGTTAGCTGCAAAATAGGACATCACCAAATTTAGGATTAGACTCCAAATTCCAGTGATCTGTTTTGTTTGATCCTGAGCAATCTTTATATATGCAGACTTACTTTCCTATTCATTCTAGAATAAGCCACATTAATAGATATATTTCTGTAGTGTTCACTTACTCTCTACTTGCTCTGCCCTTATGAAAGTATAACAAATTAGTATAGTGCACTATGGAAAAATGTCAAAAGTGCAAATTTAGAAACATAACGATTCTCTTCCATTCTTAAAAAGTTCTCCTTTCTGCAATGATTACAAAAACATAGGCATGTTCTCCAATTTGGCCACCAAGACCTTTGTCTCCTATATCAAAAGCCGATCTTCAGCAGGTATATATTAATGACAATGGACTAAGTTCACACCCTATGTTAAACTATAAAGCCATGGTTTACTACTGTAAATAATTGGCTGGGTTCACATATTGTTTTAATCTACAAGCAAGCAAATCACATCATGATTTACTATGCTGTGTAAACTTAAGTCGTGACATACAAATGTAAAAGTTTTAGCCCCTGTATTGTTATTTGTGTATTTAAGTAATTAGGGTTTTACAGATTACTATGAAACCTTAAATCTCTATTATTAAAATCAACCCAGCATTGTCACTTAAGGCACAAAGGATTGGGCTCAAATTATCCTACTTCGGACACATTATCTGATGGCCCAGATCTCTGGAGAAAGTTCAAACCTGGGAGAGATGGAAGGAAACAGAAGACAATGATCAGCAGCAAAGTGGATAAACTTAGTTACAGTGATAATAGTTGCACCATTAGAAGATCCGAAAGGCCAAGCTAAGGATAAATCGCCAAGTAGAACAACAATCTAGGTTATTGCTAGGAGTCAAAAATACCTTGATGGCACATAATCATAAGGAAAAAGAAAACTGGCAGTCCTAATAATATTTCAAAATATAATTAGTTTCCATAGATTTTTAACAATGATATAAAAGTCATGAGATCAGATATTACAATGATGAAGTTGTAAAATATAGTTCATCTCTAGATATCTCAGATATTTAAATTTAGGCACTAAACAAGATTTTTTTTAAAATCAAGATTTTACTTTTTCTGATTTTTCCATTCAATAGTCACATTATTTGTGTTCATTTAATTAAGAATTGGAGCATTCTTTTTATTTATTCAATTTATATAGCTTCCCACCTCACATACGTGACTCTAGGGAGCTAGAGATAAAATACATAATAAAAAAAACCACACATAGCAGCTGGACATCATCAAACAATAAACATAGCCAGGGGATGACTATTTACAATTTAAGGTGACACATATCTTAGCGATAAGCCATGTTCCAGGCAGTCATTCTTATTCTAGAACAGTTCCACAGAACTAAGTATATTTAAATATAGCTATTTAAAGCAGAATCCTTTTTCTCAAGCTAGGCTGCTCTTCTGAAGAATGCTGGAAGTACAACACACATTGCACTCAATGCAACACATGTTGCCCTCAGTGTGCAGGTATCATTAAGCTATAATATGGTTTGCTTGGTTTATGACTTAGCTATTGTGTTAGTAAACTTTACAGGTAAACATTACGTATAAACTCAGCTATTGGCTGCGTCTGCACAATATACTAGGTAATAAATCTATAAAGCTATTTCTTGGAAGCATTTAATACACATTATATCTTAGGACTGTGGGGTGCAATATTTAGGTTAAATGAGTTAAAGATAGCTATTTACTGTATCAATGAGACAAAGATCAGATTGCATTTAACTTCAATTAGAGATCACAGTCTCCCTTACATAGTAAATGGAATGTATTTAACAAATCATTAAAATCCTGTCTCAGGTTGAACAGAGAACCCAATCACTCACTGAGTATGCTAATAGGCTGCTAAAACATGCTTGGCAATGTAATCCTAGAAAATTAGTCACTAGAAGACAATGCAAACCTAAGTGTGGATTGTTTGTGTCACATCAGGCAATTAGGGCTAATTTAGAAACTCATCATATTGCTTGAAAGTTGGAAACAACAATTAATGGTTGTGTTGTATTTTACATTCAGCAGATCTCCAGATAGAACAGATAGTTGCTACCCTATTCTGTATAAGGTATCACTATACACTTAAATTAAGACATAATGAAGGAGCATAAAATGAAATAAATAACATTAAGATGAAGATACTATATAACTAGATTTTTTAAAAAGTATGAATACTGCTAACACCAATTATCCATATTATTGAAATCTATAATTAAACATTTCTTTTCACCTTTTGCTTTTCAGATCTTCTGGATTAAACTGAATATTAAGGACTCCAAGATCATTTTCATCACCTCCCACAGGAATTAGAAGAGAAGTAGCATCTTCCTCCATTAGAGAAGAATGTTTTGCACTTACTGTGTTGTTCTAACCTTAGAAATGAAAGGAATATATTGTTAGAGGGGGTTATATTTCCATTTCTATAAAGTTTCCTCATATAATGAAAATAAAATTATAGAATTAAATTTTCCCTAAAAACACACATTTATGTGGGACTTTAATAAAAAGGAGCTGTTTTCCCCAACTGTATACTTGGAAATGACTGGCCTTTCTTTTTATTTTAAGTTTTTGGGTTTTTTTATAAATGCAGAGTAAAGCTGAATTCTAGCTCAGAGATGACTTGATTTTAAGAGCAACTTAAAAAAAAAAAGGCTAAGCTAGTTGGATTCACAAATGTGCATTTAATAAAACATCGAGTGAGTTTGTACAACCCACCAAGCCATAATGGCTGGATTCACAGCACATCTTAAAATGAAACCAAACTAACCATATTATAATTTAACACCATGTTATGCTGCCAACTTGAATTGAGCAGAGGCAATATTACTTTTCTTACTCCAAGGTTAAGATAGAGCCTGATTTATGGTAGTGTTTTTGAAACCTGGCAACTTTAGGATATGATAGATTTCAACTCCCAGAATTTCCAGCATACTGACTGGGAATTGAAGAATTTTAAAATAGCCAGGTTTGAAAAACACTGGTTTATAGCAAACCTAAGTGCTTCCTCAGTGGTCTAAGTGATTTCTCAGCAAAGCAGTTAAAGCATTTTTTTTCACCAGTGAAGTTCAGAAATTGCACAGTATATAGTGAAGCAAGACATCAGAAAATGACCGCATATAGTAGTGGTGGCGAACTTATGGAGTGGGTGCCAGAGGCAGCACTCGGAGCCCTCTCTGTGGGCATCCATGCTGTTGCCCCAGCCTTGCCTCCTCCCGCAACCACCCCCTCACAAGCAGCTCCCCTGGAGGAGAGTCGCCCTCGAGTGTGGTCCACACGGAGCAGCGCAGCCAAGGACATGGCAGCCAAGCAGTGTAGACAAGATCTGCCCTCATGCCCCATCATGCATAGTTGATGCTGCAGGGTCTGGGCAGAGGGCGTGGCTGCCATGGCGCTGCCTGGGTGATCTACGGCAGGCCCTGGAGGCGTTGAGTGGCCCTGCGGGCAGGTGGGGAGCAGGGCAGGGGATGGAGTGGGGGCACGGCCAGTTTTTGGCACTTAGTCTCTAAAAGGTTCGCCATCACTGACATATAGGTTCAGCAGAATTGCTATGTTTCCCAAAACCAACACCAGCTTTATTCTGTTTTCAATCACAATGGAAGATTGGGAGGGGGAGGGGAAAATTAACTCTCCAAACCAGTCAACATGATGCCATTATACAGAATCTGAAGCTGTTCCAAAATGGCAAAGAATCTTGTATACAAGGTGCAGAGATACATTACAGAGAAACATTGAAAACCTCTAGTGCTGTTGGCTGATATGTATATTTACTAGTAATATTGTACAAGTCACTCTAATAACATTGTTAAGACTAGCAGAGAAATTATTTAAAACAATATAGAAATGCATTCTTTCATGAGTTCTCGTTACTTTAAGCATTCAGTGGGACAAATGTGTCTCTATACTGTAGTTCAAGCAGTGGGAAATCAACTGTTACTTTTTAATGAGAAAACATTATGATACTATTAAAAGAATTGAAATATAAACAGATTTTTAAAAAGAAATGGCAGGCTATAAATGAACATCTGCATTCCAGAACAGAAAGGACACAGCATATTTTAACTGGAATAAAGAACAACACATATATCAATTGATTGAGTTAAGAAGAAAAAGCAAGTCATAGGAATCAGAAAGTAACCATGCAAATACTGGGACTGACTCAAGTGTCGGGAAAAGTTACCCTGACTTCATTGAGCACTTTTTTAAACTGGAGAAATTATATGCATGTTTATACAAAAAGGATAAATAAGATTTACTAGATCCAGGCTAGAGAAATCTAGATGGCCAATAAAGTTGAAATTTTCTATTACCTTTATGCTGCCATCCACTGTATAGGTCTTCTGAATGTCCACAATCAAAATCTAATAACCCTAAGAAAAAATACTGCTTGGTTCAACACTAACGTCGACACACAGCTTGAATTTATAGAGGTTCTCTTTTTTTGTACAAAATTACATTTGTAACTTCCTAAATCAGACATGCTAAACTGTTGGTCCTTCAGGGTAAGGAACAGCACACATCCGTTACAGTATGTGAACTGATCTATCCATTCAAGGCTAAGATTAATGTATCAAGAAACACATATGCATCTTATACTATTGCTTCTTGCACTTTTCCTAAAATGGACAGATGGACATTCCACTGCAAATTTGCTGGCTGGGGACTGGGACTGACTAATGAATATAAAACTTTTAAACACAAAGATATTTTATTTCATCCCTATTGCAACACACAAGCATGGAGAGGTGTGTCCTGAGATCAGAAAAAAGATTCCTTGAAACTTGGGAACATACTGATGGACAGCAAAGAAAACTTGGTTTTCTATTCCATATATTAATATAGGTTGGAGGTTATTTTTGCAGCTTTTGCTTGGGGCACATTCAAGCATGATGATTCCAGAATTCTGAGTCTGTGTTATTTAAATCAACTTCAAGTGATTGAAGCTATCTGAAGAAATTCTCCTTTCAATTATCCAACCAGTTTTTTTTCTTGGCCCTTTGTGTCTAAAGTTCCAATAAATAGTAACTGAAAACTCTAAAATCCTAAGAAAAGCTAAGAAAGCTTTATATATTTGCCATTAGGAAAATCGGTACTGTAATGCTGGTCTCATCTCAAACTTCATTTTGTATAATGTTCCCTCCAGGGGAATGCTTTTAAATCCATATTTCTCAAACTTGGCAACTGTGAGATATGTGGACTTCAACCCCCAGAATTCACCAGCAAGACATGAGGATGAGAATTGAAGTCAATATACCTTAAAGTTGTCAAGTTTGGGAAACATTGTTCTAAATCAGTTTACTTCAACTCATCTGAAAGCCTAGGCTTCCTTCTGCCCAGATAGCAGACACTTGATAGTAGTGTGTGGCATCGGCTTACAATACAATACATACAAACTTAGGTGATGTTTGTTTTCTCTTAAAACAATGCCTTGGTACCACTGCATTAGTGAGTATAATTCCATTCCTCTCAATATGAGTAGGAAGGTTGGTTCAGGGGCCCTGGGATTTGGCCCAGTCTGAACATTTTTACATTTATCTATGCAGACATGCATGTCACCACAGTTCTTCAGTGCTATAAAATCACTTCTAAATCAGAATGCTCCCTCTTGCTATCATCTGATGGATCAAGTCTAATCAATGACCAGGAAGAACTGAAAAACCATTTGCCTGAACATAAACTGTCCAGTTTATCATGATGTCATACAGCTGATTCCTCAGCTGCCAGGTGCCTTAAATCTGCCTTTCTTTACTGATAAGATCAGAAAAGCAATCTTGCAGAAGAGCTCAAATAAAGCAACAAGGCAGAATCTACTAAGCCCTAAACCCAAATACTTGCAGTCCTTCCAAGACATGTTAGAAGACTTTTGGTCCCAAAGGAGATGCCTTATGACTTCCCTGACACCCTCATAGTGGCTCTCTGTAAAATAAGGAAAGCAAACTGCAGAAATTTCAGAGGCATGTCACTATTATATCCACTCTGCTATCCATTAGAGGCAAGATGTTTGCTGGGATTCTCCTGAACAGACTTGCCACTCTCAGAAAGGAATGTTCCAGGGGCAGAGTGTGGCTTTTGTCCAGAATGGAGTACAGCAGACATGCTATCTATTGTGAGGCAAGCCCAGCAGAAGTACATCAGGCAGAACAATCCTCTTTACTCTGTCTTTATTGACCTGATAAAGGCATTTGACACTAGATAGGGAGGCTTCCTGGATTATCCTGAGATGTTATGGATGCCAAAGAAAATTTGTGAAGCTCATCCAATTACTACCTAACAGAATGATAGGGCACGTTCTTTACAGAACACGGTTATGTGCTAGCCCCAATCCTGACTGAATGGCTCTTTTTGGCCTTTGCTGGTGAATGCATGAACGAGTGCTTCCACAGTCATTCAAGAAATCTTCTTTGCTGATGACTGTGTACTCCTGGTGCACAAAGAGAGCAATCTACAGTTGTTACTGAACAAATATGCAGATGCTGCTATACTCTTTGGCCAGATATCATCCTAAATAACATTGAAGTACTTTACAAGGCAGCGCCAAATACCCAACTTGTAGAATCAAAAGTCACTATTAACAGCCTAGCTGATAAATGTAAACAACTTCAAATATTTGGGAAGCATCATCTCAAACAATGGGTCTTTGAACAAAGAAACTGACTCCAGGTTAGCCAGGCATTGGGGCGGCTGCATACTAGAGTGCTCAACAAACACATCCTTATCTCCACAAAGCTAGAAATCTACAAAGCTGTGGTTATCCTTTTCTTCCTATATCCGTATAAGAGGAAAGAGATAACCAAAACAATTGGAGAAATTTTACATGCATGCTCTCTGCTCCATCCTTAGCATTCATTGATAGTACTGTGTCCCCAACCAGGTGGTTTTGGATCATGTGAAGTCCACCAGCATTGAGTCACTGATTAGCAATGCTCAATGAGATATGTGGAACATCATCGGAATGGATAACTACCATATGCCTCGCCAGTTGCTCTATAGTGTATTAGAATCTGTTTGACCACACAAGTGCTACAAAAATGCTGTGAAAGAAATCCTATCCCACTGATATCAGCTGAAGAATCTAGAAACTGCAGCAGCTGACAGAACACCTGGGGAGCCCTGTGTTATGAAGCCTCCAATGGTTTAGATTAGAAAATGGGCATTATCAAAACCCGAAAACTATGAGCAACAACAGACAATAACACCAACAGTTACTACAACAATATACTTCTAGTGCCCCCATTGTGCTAGAGTCTGTACTTCTAGACTGGGACTGCACAGCCATCTCTGTATCCAGAGATGGACAATGTGTCTCCTTTGAACTTGGACTACCATATTATCTGGTAAAACAGGGGTCTTCAAACTTGGCCCTTTTATGACTTGTGGACTTCAACTCCCAGAATTCCTCAGCCAGGCCCACAACTCATAAAAAGGCTAAGTTTGAAGACTCTCTGTAGTAAAAGCACATCAACTAGCACATATCCTCCTCCTCCTCCTCCTCCTCCTCCTCCTCCATAAGTTATGTACTATATAGGGACTACCACTGTAAACTAAACTAGCAGCAACCAATTATGTGTCAAGTGATTTTCAATTCTAGCGACCATATAGATTTTCTTCATGAAAACTAGCCTCCAATCATCAAATTATGCTATCTTTAATACTACTGAGCACAATGCAGTAAGAATATTCCTAAAGATTCATTTATTAATTCTCAATCGAAGAATTAAACACAAAGCGAACCAATTCTTGTAGCCACCGGTGAATTTAAAAGAATTTTGAGCTATGACCTACCTATGCTGGTCAATATTTTTTGTAATGATGTATTCGAAATCAATTTTATCTGATGGTACGACGGAGTGACACCCAGAACATTGACTCACTCAATCCAATGCAGATTCTCTATCTGGAAGTGTATGCATTTATTTTTTTTTACCGAGTCTGGAACTTGATTGAAGCCTCGTTCCGGCATCTCCCAAACACAAAAACAGGAAGAACTACAGTATTGCTATTGTAAGCAAAATGAGTCGCACGCTCAGTCTCCGTCCTTATATTAGCACTTTCGGCACGGAGTTTAGCAAATCCTCCAGGATTCCGAGGGAAAACATAGGACTTTACCTTAGAGATAAAAATAGAGTTGCTCACCCTGCCTGTATATACTATTTCTATCTCTAGCCGTAGAGATAGAAATAGTAGACAACCCATGCCATTTTCTCTTTTACATTCTGTAGTTAAATGAAAGAAGAGTTCCTTAGGAGCATTAGGCGTCTGCTGAGAGTTAACTTTTAAGAGAGTTTTAAGAGGATGCCAGACACCGACCTGGCAGCATATAATCAAATCCCAATTGCCCTTTCTCAACAGCTGTAAATACTTTTCATCAACATAGCAAACAATGAAAAAGTTACATTCCTTTTATTACTCTTTCCAACACAATAAAACGTTACTGTTAAGGGAAGTTAGGACCATCAGGACAGAGCAGAATTAAACTAGATTTTGTGTAAAGAGAAATGCTGGCAAAAGAAAGATCGAACTTGATACTGGGTTTGGTCCAGCTGGGACCACAGACAAAACAACAACAACCAAACACCTCTCCATTTTATTACAATGATTAATAATTCCAATTCTATTGTTTGACAAAAGGAAAGATAAATATTTCCTTCTGTTGCATTAATCAGCATGGAGTACAGGTTACTCAGTTTATAATCCATACATCCTATATAACTTTGTGTAATTGGTTTCATAATAATAGTATCGCAATACCATTTATTTCCCCCCCCCATGACAAGATGCTAAACAAGCAATCAGGCTTTGTCCTGCATACAGGCCTTCAGTGGAACATTTGATTGATCATTGTTTAAGATAAACACCAAGAGTTAGGTGATCTAATATGTCAATTAATGCACTATTATATCTGCTCAGTTTCCAAAATAATAAGACAAATGCATTTTCAAATTATTTTTATTCAGGAATATTATTAGATTTCCCCAGAAAAAAACTGATGGTGAAAATCTAATTTAGTTTGCATCACAAAAGACTGGGGAAAATCCTATTACACCCAGTAAAATTAATGTCTGACTAGATTTATGAAATTGTAATACAAGAAAACAAAAGATATCTCTTAATAAATAATAAAGTCTACAGTAACCCAGTTGTAGGTTTACTGTTGCCAAGGCAATGCTGCCTAAAGTTGAAAAGCCCTTTATTCTGCCAGTGTTGTTCTGAGTCTTATTTGCCTACATGCCTGCTAGAATTTAGAAGGGAGACTACAGAAGACTTATGAGTAATGTTTTCCCCTCCCAAATCTTCCAGACTATGTGAAGGCAAGTCATTCTGGGAGGGAATAATATAAGATTATGGGCCATTACACCACCCACTGTAAATGTCTATCTGCTACCCCTGCAGATAGCTGATCCATGAGTGTTTGGATGTTTTATTCTGCAGGTGCCATCATCCCACCTCCATGGATCACACATTACAAGCAATCCATGTAGTAGATAGGAACAGGAATGAATGCAAAGTAGAGTTTTTAACAAACCAACAGTAAGACTACTTCTAAGAGACCATCATTATCATTCTATCCCATCATTATTCATAAAATAGAGATGATGCCTGTTTTTCCTAACCAGCAATTGAGGAGTGGCAACACTGGGAGGGGGGCAACTGCATGTAGGTTCAGATACTAGTCACTTGCCTAGTGAGGCCCAGTAAGGTAGAGTAGAGATTGGCTCTTAGAACATATTTTTTTTACCTTGCAGACTGATAGAAAGTACATTAAAGTGGCAGTCTGGATGTGTTCTGGGAAGGAGAAAGGACCTTACAGAATGAAGTGGATATATAGCAAGGGAAAAGAGTGGCTGGCATGGGGAAGAAGTATTAAATTTACTAAAAAGTTGTCCCTTCCTCAACATTAATCTGCTTGTTTCTGAGATGGGATTTTCCTCTTCCTCACAAGTAAATATAGTATGAGAACTGAACCACCATTCTCCTTTGGAGATTGGTACCACTTCCACCCCTTTTGAAATTAAACTCAGTCGTTATAAACTTGTCAGCCTTCTTCTGCCTGACTCAATCCCAGCTGGAGAGAACCGTAGCCATATATATCCAGGTAACTACTGACAACACATTCAGTTTAGAAAGATGCTGCCCAGGAATTAATTTGTTTGGTTTCTCACAGCTTGGTGCCTTGTTTGTATATCTGCAGACTACAGGTAGTCTTCAACTTACAACCACAATTGAGCCAAAAATTTATGTTGCTAAGAGAGACATTTGTTAAGTGAGTTTTGCCCCACTTTACAATCTTTCTTGCCGCAAAAAGTTAAAAGGTCAGCCTTTAGTTTTTAACCTGTATAATTTGAAGTACAGTCCTTGAGTCACCTGGTGACCCAATTACATTGGTGTGAAATATGCTGCCTTCCTCACTGATCCTTATTTTGCTGTTCTTTCAAGTCACTTAATTACCACCCCAAATAATGGTAATTAAGTCTAATACTCTGCAGAATTGTCAAACTCTGCAGACGATCTATGACTCCTTAAAATTAGAAATCCCTTTATATGGCACCTCTGTGAATTAAACATTTCATTGGGATTAGAGGTAAATAAAAAATAAAAATTTGTGACATTTAGTTAAAATATAATTAAAATTATCTTAAATTTAAAACTTAACATAAAAAAATAAAAATTTAAATCTTTTTTAATGGGGCGGATGAATTTGCTTAGTTTTGCTTAATGTCTGAAATTTTGGATCCACATTTGCTCTTTATAGGAGCAACTATAGAAAATCCTGAATTTGTTTCAGGCTTTCCTCCTCACTTTTGTTCAGTCAAATCACATACTAGCTTACTCAGGTACAGCAGGAACAAATTTTGATAAGATCCATAATTGCTGAGAAACTTTCAAAGAATGTGCTGTGAGCTTTCCTGGTAGCTTTGCTTGTTGAAGATAATAGCTAATGTCACAGAATAACCTCTGACTGGACTCTGGCTTTGCCTGTACAAATACTGGCTTGTCCAGGCAGAATGGGAGCAAGCATGTGCACAAATCTACCTTTGCATACATCAGTGGTTCTCAACCTTTCTAATGCTGCGACCCCATAATATTGTTCCCCTTTTGTTTGGCCACCGGGTGCCAGAGGCGTGGCCAAACAAAAGGGGAAAAAAATGGCGGACAACCTTGTTTGGCGACCCCCGTGAAATGGTCATTCGACCCCAAATGGGGTCCCGACCCACAGGCATACATAAAGCATCAGGCTGCACAGATAAAACTGGAGTCCTGTCAAAATTTTCTTCTCTACTTCTGTACATAACAGTGACCCATATCTAGATATATATTTAGTTCAGATATGGAACCAAAACACATGTCTCCAGACATGGGACCAAAGGTGTAAGAAAGGAACCCATATGTTCTAAGCAAGTGTTCTGTAAAAAACAAGAAAAAACCTAAGGCCATTGAGATAGTCTCCCCACTTTGTATCTCCTACAATCTTTCCCTCAGCTAACAATGTCCTATTTTAAGTGCAATACAATACATCCTCCTGACTGATCTCCCCAGTTACTCTAAAGAGAGATGAGAAAAGGGTTATGTGGGCAGGCCATTAGATATATTAGGAGTGAAGCCAGGACTCCAGGCATGGCTATGGGGATGTAGGGAGAAGATCACAGTGAAAAGATTGGTGGGCAAGCTGGCACTCAGTTCCAGAGGATGAGGCATACCAGCCTTGCTTGTCACCTCTTTAGAACATTTTGGATTTTGGCAGGTCTTCCAAACAAGTAGCTTGTTTTGGATTCATAGCAAAGCACTTCTATTTTATGTCTACTCCTATTAAAAAGAATTTTACACCATTATGATTTCATAGAAGCCACTGCCCACGTATGTCTGCCCAACGAACATGGTTGTTCAATCCAGTTAATCTATAATCAATTTAATCATATGAATCCAATTTTTGGTATTACAGGACACAATGAACCAAACTAGTGACAGGGACTGTTACATCGAGCACTACTTAAAAAATAATGATTAGAGAATCCTGTAACCCTTATTTCTTTAATAGATTATATAATTAATAATTATATAATTGTGAATAACCCGTCCCCCCCAAGCAACGTTAACAGCATTAAAACCCTTAGGCAAAGGAAATCCTAGGCCACTCGACAGGCATGCTTTCCTACACCGAGGAGGCTCTTGAAAAAAATGCTCGAAGGGCGTTCGTTGCTCAGAGCAAAATCAAAAACTAATATGTCGTTAACATTCCCCCCCACCCTCCCCGGCTCATGGGGAAATTTGCTCCCAGGGTTGCGAAAAGCAGGAAGGCTAGGCTTGAGGCCCTACTTGAGACACCGCAACAATTCCCGCGGGCCTCCGGCGCAGACACAATCAAGCGAACGCGGCGCCGGAGACGGCTAGTTAGCAACGTCTGGAGCACGTGTTGACGAGGCGCTACGTCGCCTTAAGGCTCGCGCGCCGTTAAGGTGGGGTTCGTGCCTGTTGGTTTTACGCGCCAACGAGAACCCACGAGAGCGAAGGAGATACAGCCCTGCTGCCCTTGGGCGGGTCTCTATCGCCGGGTGGGCCTCAGAGGGGAGAGTCAAGCGGGCGGCAGGCAGGTTGGCTGGTTTTTGGCGGGAGAGGCAGCTGGAGTGGATGGAAAGGGCCTTCTGTATGGCAGAGCGGCGTCTCTTGAGTTGGTGGGAGGTCTCCGGCCATATTAAGGGCTGCGTTTTGTCTCTCCTCAGTTTCAGTTTGTCGCTTCGAGTGTATTTCCCCTCTTGGCAGGAAGGCGTGGAGTTGGCCGACGCTGCCATGGATGACGAGAACTGGGATACGGAGTTTACAAAAGGTGTTAGTGGAGAGGAAAGCCGGGCCATGCCCGTCTTCCAGCCCAGCTTCCAGAAGCCGGTGGGTGCCTATGGAAGTTATATGTTTTGAGGCGTGCTCTGTTTTTCCAATATTTAGGTCAGATGCGCGCTGTCTAGGTGAACAACGAATGGGAAGGTTGGTTGGAATTTGGACCCGAGTAGAAGGATTACGAAACAATCCGTCCAGTCTTGGAAGGAATAAATTCTAATGCCAGATTCCCTACTAAGTTTCCTATTAGGGATTGACTTAGTCAAGGGATGG